GTGTGTGAGAATTCATACGCTAGCCCTCGCCTATCCCAACTCACGTGATGTATAGTTCTGTAGTGTCAGAACAACAAGAAGCCCGTATGACTAAGAATGTAGCCCATGGAGCATTTTTGGTCTAGCGGTATTATATGATACGGACCTGACGGAGCCTGGCGACGAGGGCTTGCAAGACCGTGATATTAGCGATGCGGCACTCTTATTCATAGATAATAAGTATCTACTAGAATCTTATATTCAGCAGCTTAAGAAATTCGATGAGATAGAATACACAAAGGAGGACTGTGGAAAGGGTACCACTGCCCTGCTTAGCCAGGTGAAAGAGAAGTAGTTACAGTATGGCTCACCCTCTATTTGCGCCTTTCTTCGAAGAGATCCTCTGAAGTAATTCAAACGCCTGTCTATTTCGATCATGTACACATTCCTGGATTAGATCCTTAATCTACGGCGTGGAAAGAATGGAAAGCAGCTCCCAGATATAAAGTGTAAGAGCTTACTTGACATCTTTTGGAAGGTGTTTTCGCCTGGTGTACGAAAAGAAACTTCGAACAAGATTACACTTGATAAACTAGTTTGCATGTTGGCACCACTCAATTGAATCAATTCAGCCGTAGCCCTTCACACCTGAGGACAAAGCATCCTAGGCATTGTGTAATCTTCCATACAGTAGCAGCACACGGTACTGTACAATATGTAAGGTGCATTTTACGTTGTCCCTCCATTTAACGTGGTCGCCCAGCGGCCATTTCTTGCGACTTCAGCACACATCATTATTTCCCTCTCTTCTTCGAAGCTCTTTTGGTAGTCAAGTAATGATATCACCCTGATCTTAGCCACCCCAGGCATGCAGGTATCATCGGAGTCTCCAGGCTAGCATAGACCTCACTTCCAGAACCCCCGATTGGTCCCAGTAAATTCAAAGCTCGCTGCCTTCAACTCCGACAAATCTAATGCTTCTTCTTTCTCTAGACCTTCGATTGAGATAGTCCAGCTTGCAAACGGACTCGGAGCAGCATAACCCGGACCATCGATGATAACCCCCGGATCCACAATCTCAATCTGTCCTCTTCGGTCTTCGCCTGACAGCAGCCTGTAGGACCATTTCGGGTAGAGACGGGCGTGTGCAAAGGCCCGAACCTCGCCGCTCGGATGGTAGTAGACACTGTCACCTTCGTGGATAAGGGAAACGCTGACCAGCGGACCCTCGGATTCGATATCCGCGCCGGGCTTGATCTTGATCCCATGAAGCCAGAAGCGTACACTCTCGATCCGTACATCAGCTACTCGCTTGAAATCCTGCAGAGTTTCATCGGGACCTGGTGCGAGCAGTCTAACGCGTACTTGACCGTGATTTTTCAGAATTTGAAAGTCTTCATCCGCTAACTTGAAGTACTTGCCATGTCCCGCTGTGCGGTCCATTGGGAAGGGCGAAGGGTCTGACTTGGCTTTCCCGTGTTTGTCGAATAATTCTTGGTGGCGGCTCTCATACAATGTCTCAAGCTTCGCCGCCGTCAACGAGATGGCAGCGTCGCTGGTTCGGCCGCCGGCTTCCTCGTCTTCGGCTGGGTCAAGTGTTTGCAGAAAGATGGCTCGGCCATAGCCCGAGATAAGGCGCATAGAACGTGCGCGGTTCCAAGCGTAGATGTCCTCTGCCAGTCGGGCCATTTGGCTTAGCTGCTCCTTGTCGGCTGCCCGGTAACCATTCTTCCTCAGCTTGCCAGCACTATCTTCTAGCTTGGATTTTGCCTTATCCAGGTCCGCGATCGCTTTGAGTACTAGGTTGAATTGAACTCGGTCATGGTTGCGATCCGCAAGAAGATCTGAATAGGTCTTCAAGATCTTTTTGGCCTTCTGGGCTCGTTCCCCAACTATCGAGGAGTCGACAAAGTCTGCGATATACTTATCAATTTGTGTCTCGCTCGCTATTAAAAGCTTGTCTTGCTGCTCGTCAATTTCAATCGCGTTGGTGTTGGCGTTCCTGGTGACCTTGGCTCGCGATGATACGGCCACCTTGTCCAGGTCGCCAATCACATTGCCAATCTCGCGGATGATCTGTGCCTTGCTGACTCGGGTACCGTCAACTTTCGGGATGCTTCTAACACCATCCCAGAGCATCTCGGACACCTCCCCGCCGGTCTTGTCCCAAATGCCGGAGGTAAAGGAGAGGAAGTTGGTCTTCAAAGTCCGTCCCTTTTCATCATCTTCCTTTGGCGTTGGGTTTGGCTTGCCACCCGGTGTGGTACTTGTATTTGGCTTGTTGCTCGGTGGCGTGTTTGGGTTTGAGGGTGCAGGCGGAGCTGGCGCAGGACGCACCGGTCTGATATCCGGTGGCGGATCTGGCGGGCACACGGCACCAGGAGCGGATGCTCGACGCGTCGGCGGTGCATTAGGGGTTGAATTGCTTGGATCACCCTTGGGCTTGGTATCTGAAGGATTTTTCGGGTCACCCTTTGGGTCATCTGGCCCCGGACTTTTGGGTTTCTCCGCAGGCTTTGGCTTTGGCTTTGGCTTTGGCTTTTCCGACAGTTTGACGAGGTCTGTCATTTTTGTCGCCTTTGCAACGTTGCCCAGTGATTCACATACCCGCCCCATAATCTCAAAGGCACTTCTTGCGGCGCTTTGCATATTTTTCAGCTCAAGTATGAGAGCCTGATGGGCTCGCTCAATCTCCGCCGTGAGAGCTTGGCTGTAAATGTTTCGGTTGAGAGTGATGAGCTCATCAACAAGTGCACGGCGTTCCTTTTCGATCTGTTTGCGACCAGTATCATGTTGATTAATGCTGGCGTCGAGCAGCATTGCATCCGCATCGGCTGTAGTTTGTCGCCGAGCGAGCTTAAGGAATAATTCTTCGGAACTTTTGAGGGCCTTCACCGAGGCCTCGGTCTCCTTTTGATACATCTCCACGGATTGCCGCGGCGCCCAGTTTTCCTGGCGGCCATAGTAGTCCACCGACGTGTTCGTCAACTGGAACAACATCGCGCCAGCCTGCCGGCCAATGCGACGTAGCTCTCCGACTGGGTCTGACATGTCCGAGGGGATGCCGATCAGTTCACGCTGCTCCTCGTAGATTGCCATTAGGGAGCTTATTCGGGACGTGCGCGCTTCCTTGGTCGCAGCGGATAGAGCCGCAGCGGTTGGGGAGTCATCCTCGGCCAAATCCAGGACGGCCTTGATCTTGTTGTACAACCGAGCCAGAATCCTCTGCGCGGCGAAGAGACTTTCGCCATCGCCGAAATAGAAGAAAGCCGTGGCTTTCTCCAGCTGCATCGAACATTGCAGGGGATGTAACGGGGCAAACTCCAGTCGGGCTGGCGCTGCTTTCCGCCACACTTCCCCATGGGCGGATCCGTTGGTGCCATCGGGGCCACGGGCCCCTCGCACCCCCAGTGTCTGGGAAGGTAACCCCCCGGAGCCCCCGGGCGCTTTCACCGAGTCTCTCACCTGCAGACACTGGCCATCAAGAGTGTTGTTCAGCTTGTCATGGAGGGTGGTTAAAGTGTTCACCATTTCCCGCCGGCTGACCTCGGTCGATCCATCACAGAGAGGGGTGAGTTTGTCCAGAGCTTGCTGACATAGAGGATCATCCTCCTGACATAGACGGCAGATATCTCGGACGATGCCCACGATGCAGCCTGGCACTGCTGTTGGTATCGGCTCCGTACCTTGTGTATCCGATTGGGGGTCATCGGTGGCATCTACGTCATCATAAGCCACCTTGCTCGTAACACCGAGCATTCCGATCACCCTGGCGAGGTCTCTAATGATAGGAAACCATGTTGGGTTGACAAGCACTCTCGTATACCCGCCTGTGCCCCCACTTCCTCCAGGCTGTCCAGCTTCCGACGCTTGTTTGCCGTGGCCGCCGCGAGCATCGAACTGGACCTCTGGTAAGAAAGACGGGGATTGCCCCAAGAAGACATTCAGGTTGTGCCCTGACTGGCCATCTAGTTTAGTCCGACCATCGGTGCCTCCGGTTTCGTTTGGCTGCCCATCGGCGCCCCGGGCACACACAACCGCCTGGGTTCTGGGAGTTTTCGTATGCAGTTGCGTGGTGCTCAGAGTGACCATCTCGGCCTTGGTCGACCCGAAAACGATCCCTTGCTCGGGATCCGGATCACACAGAGTGACTGACTCGGCGAAGATGCTGACGGATTTGGCGTACTCGTTGATAATCCCATATTTCTGGTTGTGTCCCAGCTCTACACCTCGCTCGGTCGCCGACAAAATAGTCAGGGAGTCCTTGGTTTCAATGACCTTGTGGAATTTGCTATACCAAAGATCTTCACTTGTCGCCATTTTGCTTTTTCTTTTTTAGGTCGAAATGTAATGATGCTCTGTGAGAAGCTGGCAGCAATTCAAAGGATAACATTAGTCTTCCCTTCAGGAACAGGGCTTTAAGACGGTCCGTACCCACCACGTAGGAGTTCGCACAGGCTTTGGGAAAAATTCGTCCATGTACAAGGAGGGATGGCTTGCCCATCCCAAGCTGAACTCGTCCTAAAATGCCCCGCTTTTTGCGGGGAATAGCATGCACGAGGATTTTTGCAATCAAGGATTGAGTGTAGATCCATCCTGGAGGATACAGCTGTTTGGCGCAATCCAATGTGACGACGATGCGTGAGCACGAATAGTGTGATATAAGCACATGGGAGGAGCGAACCGACGTCCGATCTATCTAGATCTGCGGGGGCGGAGTTGACAACATCCCATTTCAGCGGCCATTCGGAGAACGCCTAGACGGTCGATCGGCGCCCAGCTTGAGAGATTTGCAAGTTTCGCCACACTCTCCCACGGGATTTTCCGGCGGTGATGATGAGTGCTTTCTTTCGGATCTTGGGGAAGTTATTTTGTTTTTGTTGGTGGGGGGAGGAGGGGGGGGGGGTCTTCTTGGGTCCGAATTTAAGACAGCCCGGTTAGATCGGCGAGAACTCTTTCCACGCTACGCGTTGTAACGAATATTGGCTTGCTCGACGCAGACGGAACAGTTGATGGTCAACATGGCAAAGACTCCGCTGGGAAAAGTCGTCGAGGGGATGATCAATGCCCCTTCGCCCAAACCCGAGGAGGGCTGGACGCTCGGTTGGGATGTAGTGGTCTCCTACTCGGAGGAGGAAATCAACCAGAATCTGGCCCGGAGCTGGGAGAAGGTGGGAGCCTCCTTGACTTCTTGAAGGGGCTGAGCGAAGCCGGATGAAGTGCTGACGACGCAAACACACAAAGCACCGAAACGAAATGGTCGAGGAAATCAAGGTCTCGACGACGGTGGAGAAGCAATATGATGACTTTGACGACGATGACAGCGATCCAGTCACGCGGGACATCGTGATGAAATTCGGCGCCCCCAAGATCCAATTCGCGAGTGGCACAGCATCGCCGACGGTTAACCTCATCTTGCCTGTGCGCCAGGGAAGCTCTAAGCTCTCTACAAAGCCTTCTGCCTTTGAGTTCCCGGAGGACACATATCAAATTTCCCTCAAAAACATCCCCCTCGGTATGGTCAAGGGCGACTACTACGAGATACAAGCCAATAACCGCAGTGGGAGCCTGCCCCCGCCAATCGAGGGAGACAAGGAATGCCGATTCGAGAGCAAACTCCCCGATAATGCCCGAGACGATTTTGAGGTCTCTTGGGTAGTGCTCGCGTTCTCCCTGAAGGAGGGTGACCTGCAAGTGGCTGCCGAGATGGCGCCTGGCCATGAGTTGGACAGCACAAGAGCCCCGAATGAAAAAGCCAAACGCCGGATCAATGCTGGACGGGAAGGGGTCGAAACCGCGGCAAAGGTGTTCTTCGTCGGAACTCGCGCGACGGATTTCCAGTCCACGTTCAATGTCCTTCGACATGCACTGGCAACCATCAAGGACAAGCAACACTCCCAGCAGGGGCCGGTCCATCCGAACCTCACCCCCAGAAAATTTCGCATGGCGGTTTTGCAGGGTAGCACTGTCAAGCCAATTCTGTCGCTATTTATCCATGTCGTGGATGGGGTAGACGAGGGTGAAATCAACGATCTACAAATGAGATGGGCAGGCATCTGGCTCAATGCCAAAGTGGCTCCGATCCCATCGACCCACACGGCCTCCATCCTCATTCATCCCCAGTTGATCTACAAAAACCTGCTGTCCAATTCGCTCGTCCAAGAAGCCAACAAAGGATGGGTATTTGAACCCCTGATAGGGAAAAAGGGTGGCGGCATCGCCGTTGAGGCCAAATTCACGGAGACGCTCAGCGTCCCCCAAATATTTGTGGAAAGATTCCCTTCGAAGGGCGAAATAACCTCGTCCACGGTCGATCCATGGTCTGAAGATCTGAAAAATGTATGCCAACCTTTCTCTTGCGTTTGATCTTCACGCCCACTCACACCCCGGTTGTGGGATGCAAAAATTGGCGATGCCGTGCTGACCATACCTATAGATAGGAGCGACTGTTCATCTTCGCCAACGAGTAGGTTTTCATGAAAATGGGTTGAAAATTCATGCTCACAAGATGACCTAGGACATGGATCAACGCCCGGTGATTTATATCAATTGGGAATTTTCCACTACGACGCGTAGAAATGATTGGCATGGAAGAAAGATGAACCCTTATAACTATTCCACCGTTGCGGGAAGGATCTCGAAAGTAAGGGACTCTTTGGATTTCACCTATTCAAAACACTCACAACGTGCGACAGTGGAAGACAACGCTCAAGCTAGACCACGACATTCCTCTGAGAATCAACTCCACCGACTACGACATTACTCTCGAGGCCGACACGGAGCAACTGGCACAATCCTGGCAATTCAGTGAAGAAGAACTGTCAGTCGACTTCGCAGATAAAGTACACAATCTTGCGACTAAGTCGTTCTTCGCTGATGAGGACATGACCCGGGCAGTGGTAGCCCAGACAAAGGAAGAATTACGCAAAAACATTCCTACACTCACGTTTGGAGAAATGGGGCTAGGGTTCTTTCTTACCACTAATCTGCTTAACCCCGGGGCCAAGGTCATCAGGATCGATGAGAAAGTTGGCTTCCGGGTTCCTGGGAACCTATTACTGGTTGGACATGTTGTTCAAGGTCAGGACAATATCAAGTCAGGCAAGATCTGACGGTGGAGTACGATATGTGCTACAGTAGCACAAGCACGGTTTCTGGAGGAAGACTTTGACTGAGGAGAAGATTCTCAAAAATGCTACTTTAGATCAGGTGGATTATTGGAAAATAACTTAGCTGCACGAGGGCCTCGACAACAATATTTGATTGGTGTAGATGGTGGGTCTCCACTGTGCTGCAGGCTTTCTGGTTCCACTTGGCATGTTCACTTACTTTGGAATCGGTCATACATATCCACTTCGAATGTCACGGCCCTTATAGCGGAGCCAATCTTTAATGGTGTTGTGAAACTATGATATTTGTAAGCTGGGCTCAGAGTGGGGAAGATTTGCTCTATGCATGACACATGATAGTACTTGTTCGCTTCTACGGCTCGTGAGATTTTTTACCAATGTAGGCTTTTGCGGGACTGTCAGGACTTACTGTAGCATATGTGTCTCTGTTAGCGGTGAGCTGACCAAAGTAGGCTGTGAAACACCCACCTACCCAGTATTCTCTTGAGTCATGTCTACTCCGTAGAGGCAGATCGCAGTTCCACAGGCACAGTCCTGGCCCCACATTTTATGCTTGTGGTTCCAAATCATGAGGTGGAAAGTCGCTCCACCGCCAATGAAGTTATACTCTGTTATGACTCATGGGTTATTTTGGGTCAAGATCTTGAATGCTCTGAGGATCACTTACTTAGCTAGCTGAAGACTATTGGGCTACATTGTATGGGCCTTTCAGAAACCACTTTCTGTGCTCGTTGGAACGCGCATATTGCTCGCACGCTGGGATAATGCCGCCGCCTGTGAGGTGTCGTAAGTAGTTAGCAGTAGCCTTCCGAAATTGTCTGGGCTCCGTTGTGGCTATCCATCTGCACAGATCATTTAGCTAGATGGCGGTTCAAACCGCTGGGCCGCCCTCTTTTTTGAATACTTGAATCAATTTAAGAGGCCGCGATCAAGGAATTGTGGGTCTAGTACTCCAGTTGGTCGTGAAAAGTCCGAGGAATAAATAATAATGATAATAATAATAATAATGAGGGGCCTCGACAATCACTAGTGGTGTGTGCGTGTGTGATCGGCGCCATTTCAGCTTGTCTTCAGCTTGTCTTCAGCTAACCCTCGGCTAACTCTCAGCTAGTCTATCATTTGAGTGAAGATGCATCCATGCACTGTGCTGTAATTGGATGATAATGACTACCTCTTATTTCTTCACCCAAAGGTATAAAGTTGCCATCCCATCATACTCATTCCAATAATAACAACAACAATCCATCTTGATCAACCATCTCATTCCACATCATCCACCGCCATCATGTCTGTCTATGTGAGTTTACCTTCCTATATTCCATATCCATTACTAACCCCAAAAGGTCCTGCACGTCGAAGCCAAATCCGTCAACCAAGACGATCCAAGGTCAATCCAGCAAGTTCAATCGGCCGAACAATATCTGATGCAGTATATATTACCCATCCATCCCTACAAATCTATTTCTAAACAAAGCCGCTGTTAGGTTTGCAGCATTGGCCAGCGCGCAACTCGAGGGCTTTCAGACCGAGTACCCAAACCCTCATGACACTTCCGCATTGCGTGAGCGCAACATGGAGTATGACCCGTCTTTTATCCTTTATTTAGGCTGAAATCTAATAAATGGTAGATTCTCCATCCCTGATGATCTGAATCTTGACATTAAGCGCATGGCTAAGGACGCCCTTGAAAGGCTTGGTGAGTTTGCGACCTTTACTATTAAAGACAAGGTTTCCGGCGAGAAGAAAAATCCGTTTGCTTAATGTGCCTCTCCTGGGAGTGAATACACCTATTGGAGAATTCCAATAGCTCAGATTAACAGCCCGGAGGTGAAGCATACAAGGAAGAAGAATCAACATGATTAGTATCTAATTCCATAAACCTTGTCTCCTTGGTCCTATAAACGCAATCAAATATACATGTCTCGCAGTATACTCAATATACCCTTGGCATATTTGGGTGAGCCACTGCAACAAGTCCTCACCCAGCCTGCAGCGTGATGTTGGGTATTATGAAAACCTGGTCTATCCGGCGCCGATGCAACGTTTCCTGGCCAGAGCGAATTTCCCCCAGGCGTTTATACACACATCAATGTGGCTTACGCTGTGATTGATCCCGACACCTTCGAGATTAGGCCCAGCCTGCTGGCTGACATTAATCTCTTCGCGAGTCTCACTGATCTTAAGAGAAGTGATCCTGATCTGAAAGTGTATATTGCCCTTAGCGGTTCGACGTACAGTTCCCAGGGCCCTACCGAACATACATCCTCAGACCTCGCAGCCTCTGAAGCAAACCAGACGGCATTTATCAAATCCCTCACGAAATTCATGACTGCCTTTAATTTCGATGGAGTCAGTCTTGATTGGCAATATCCAGGGGCAGAGAAAAGGATCTCATCGTGGCCGTTCTGGGAACATGGCTCGGGTATGTTATTTGGTGGTCTTGTAGTGCGTTTCGGCCTCGCCAATCGTGGAGGTGAATCTTCGTGCTTGTCGCGGTCGGCTCGTCCCGCTAATTTTTGTTTTCTCGCGTCGCTCACGGTACGACCGTTCAATTCTGATCGAAGCAGCTTCTTCCCTGATACAGGTTCTCTGGACCAATACAGTGCGTCTCGAAACCGGCCCGTAGTCGCTACAGGCTGTCTCGGAACTCCTCTAATTGTACCGATGTACAGTACAGTCTAGTTGTGGTAGCTTGCATCTCGCCTTTTTAGTTGGATACCAGATTAGGTGAAGAAGCAATTTGTTGGTATTGAATCTCAGCTCAGCCACGTAATCAGACGATCTAGTACTTAGCACAAATGCACAGACGAGGTCTGAGAGCTGCAAGTCTCCTGAAAACCATCTACTTTGATGATGATTTGTTGTCGCGGTTCCACACTGCTCTACTATTGAGCACATTCTCAGCTCGATGAGGTAGACACATCTCAAGGTACATTGCTGTGGGGTAGGGTAACTCAAACCCACATTTGCCACGATGATTGATAAGAAGAGAAATTCAGCATGGTCCTGATCGAAAATGGTTCTTAAGTACCCTCTTTCTACCCACCCCTGGAATCATCATCTGTGGCATGGCAAGTATCCAGATACCACCTAATGACAAAAGTGCCCCGAGATGGCTTCTCGATCTACACGAATGGAGGATCCAGCCTTATACTGAGATTTCGAAGGAGATCCTTGACAGTGAAGGATATGGCGTGGTTTCATACACATGGGGGTACATTGCTTAATGGGACAAACTAGAGACAGACCTCCCCGAGGGTGTTGTTTGGAAGGTACCCACTACGTCGAAATGGCCTTTGTTGAAGGCACGGGAAATGATGCAGAAGATCGGGACTCGTTATATTTGGTGGGACTGGATGTGTGTCCCTCAGGTTTGAGAAGGCGATGACCCTCTCCTGTACCAGGCCAAAGGGGAGGAGATTGGGAAACAACTGTGAGTAAAAGGCGAAAAGAGAGGGAGCTCGCAATTTGATCACCCGGCTGTGCCCTTATTGCCATGACCCCCTTGACGTGGAGGGAGACAGAATGTCCTTGTTGAAAAGAAAACATCTGACATTTTCCAGGCACATCTATAGGAAGGCAAGAAAAAGTATTATCTGGCTTCATTTAACTTCATGGAAAGGCGATTCAGCGCTCAAAGAGATACTTCTCTTGGAGATGTCGCGACCTCACTTTGTGGACCCATATATAGTGGAAAAATATACACGTAGGGTTGAAAACTGGGTTAAGATTGCCCAAAAAGATGAACGTTGGTTGGTCTCGGGCTGGACCTTACAGGAAGGGGTTTTGTTGGGCGACACTCGTCTCCTTGATGGAGAGGGACATGTCATCTAGGACAACCGGTTTTGCAATGGCCAGGACGCCGTCGTTCGTGACCTTTCGCTTCCCATCTCCGTCCTATGTCACAATCTTGCTTCAGCCTATTTCATCCAAAGCGAAGGGCATGATCCGGATCCTATGAGACCCGGTGCTGGTCAATTTGGGCATAGACCGCCCAAATCACCCGAATTGGTGATTTGGTTGCGCCGGTCCATCAAAAGACTGGTTGAATCTGGCTTAGTGGGTTTCTTTGAATTCAGCCCCCTTACCATCCTGGCTGGCAAGAACGGCCGGGAATATGGTTGGATTGAAGACTCCTGCTGGGCATTGGAGAATATCGAAGTCACCGCAAATCTGTCCATGGAAAAGATCAAGAGAAGATTTCTATCCGCCCTGGTAGATAAGTATCAATGGATGATGCTTTTTCTGCCATTCCCAGAGAAGGGACAGGATTCGAAACGACCTTTCCAGTGGACAGATATTGTTGACGGTGCCTTGCTACCCGTTTATCTCTTCATTGTTGAGGACCATGTCGATCCGGACTCGACTGCCGCGACGCAGCCAACTCTCCATTTCTCAGACGCGGATTTCACCTCAGAGAAGCTCCTTCTCAAAGCGCCTGACCGCCAGAAGATGCGCCTCTTTCGCGTTTCAGAAGATCATGTTACATATTTCCGCCACTATCGCCAGGACTCGGATGGGTTGCGGATAGTATCTTCCCGGTTGGTCAGTTTGACAGATGATCCGCTTGTGAGCGGTGCATGGTTGTTGCCATTTTGGATTGTCGACACAAAGGGGACTGTTCAGGGGAAATGATGTCTGCTGCTGTTGCAATTCAAGGATTTGACTTCTGTTGATCAGCCCGCCCGTGCAAGCTTTGGTGGAATGATTGATGTTTGGGGAGTTGGATCGGAAACAGTCGAGGTCACAGAGATGATCTTGGATCCTTGCTAGTCTGGCGGGTCTTGGTGTTTTCAAGCTGCTGAAACTGTAGCAACCACTTCTGCGGAGTTTCAGCTCGTCCTGTGCGAGTCCAAAGTGGAGAAAGGAGTATGGTATCCTATTGACGTAACGAGGCAACAATTGAGTAACTAGCCAGAAGGACAAGCAATGGTACTACTGTAAGCTCTTCCGTAGATCAACGAGAATTCTTCCTCCAGTATAATGTATCATATCATCCCATGACGAGAGAACTGGGCGTCATGATTATACTCTATGCCAGCTTGAAGGACAAACTTATTGTTAGTGCCTATTAGTTGAGGCCTACACCATTGGTTACTTATGAGGCTGCTGTTCGCCACAGATAACCGAAATATGGTTGAGACAGCCGTTTAATGAGGATTGCATCCTTTAACATGCTCCTGATGTAACGGCCGGTCCCAATCTATTGCCCAGGCCAAGCCTGTGCGATGTGATCCCTCAGTTCCCCAGGGTATTTACTCACCACTGGTCACCCAATTTTTACAACATACATTACCAAAAATATTAGATTAAGATATCCTCCAGTCTGACCCATGATCTACGAAAACAAGAGGCATGATAACACCCAATATCACTGTTACAGCATAGATCGACTGGTCTAGTGAACTGGCAAAAAGACGGTGAAAATCGACGATCTGTCCATGCCCCAGTGCAGGCCGAGTAGCGCCATTCGAAACCAGCTTGTTCTGCTCCGTCTAAACGATACGTGTCTCCGTCACACTGAAATGAGTGTTGTTCACTGCCCCCAGGCCATGAAAAAGTGATTTTGAGGGTCATAGTGGTGACTTTCGTGGAAGGTGATACGTGTGTCTGCGGACTTTCGACGGGTATTGGGGGTACATGCAAGATGAAGTTGGATGGCCAAGGGAACCCATCCGTTAATGAATTTTATCGAACGGCATTGTTTGGATGGAATTCCTTCTCGATCAGTCACAAACGCCATGTTCACCGACACGTGCTCTACACCGAGGATCTGCAAGGAGCCAAGATAACTGATCCACGTCCACCAGAACATCCCAAGTCACACATACCATCAACCAATTTAGTGCAATATTCGTCAACATCTCTACCTCATTCATGTACCCATATTTAGAATAAAAAATCACGGCTTATACATTACCCTCTCTCTGGTCCCCATAATCACACTATTTGGGTCAAACTTGAACGCAATAGAAGTAAAAGACAAAGTAGTATTAAGAAACTAGTTAATCACCGTTTCCACCAGTACAAGAGAAAAATTATATCATTGGTTTCACAGTCCTCAACATATGATAAGGCCAACCAACCACGTTCACTAGTCCCAGAAAGGTGAGGTGGTTGACTGATGAGAAGATATTTTCGTCTCTCTCCAGAGTTATTGACGAAATGGATGGAAACCTCAGTTGCAGACATTATGTACTGAAAATGAAAACTGAGAATAATTGGGAGATAATTTGGAGCAACGTATATTTGATCGAAGTTTGATCGAACAACGGGAAGTTCCGAACAATTAGAAGATATGGGCTGCGTTAAACGGACGAGGGGAGAAGAGATAGATCCATGAGCAGCAAGAAGAATATTGGCCTTTCTCGTACAGTAGAGGGCCTAGGTGCTGCTCCACGCGAATCCATAGAGAGAATCCATTCTGCTAGCGAATCATATTCTAATTGGGTCAGGGTATTATTGTTTGCGCGTATATCGACACGAGAAGTTGTCCTATTCAGGCGGTCGCGTAGTGTAGACCAGGGCATATTAAAGTTCCACGCTTCTTCCAGAATAGAAGAGATCTCTTTAGTTTGAATAGATTTAATAGCTAATAAGATCCTACCCTCTCGTTCGGAAGAGACTCGCGAGTATTGGGCTCGTTTTGGAGGCATGGTGGGTGGTTGAATAAGGAGGGTACGCGTGCATGGGCGATTTTTCGCGGCGTGGGAGGTTCGCGCGGGGTGGGCGGTCCGTAGGGGGATTTACGTTAGTTCCTTCCAGCACGGAGCTTTTCTCAGCGGACTGGTCACCCCATACCATTAGCTGAGGCGGTGCAACATGATCGCCAACCCCGTTGAACACCTTGCATGGCACACCTGGAATACCAATTCCCAATTGGCAATAAAGACGGCTCCCGGTCGGGCCTGGTAAAGGGATTATGACAACAGGATTGTGTGGATTCATTCTATTGCTTCAATTTCATGCTACTGGAGTTGAATGGCCCGCCACTTCGCCTTGGTGATCAGGAGAGGTGTTGATCGTGTAGATTCAGTCAGCTGAATGTCAACAAAAGCAAATTGCTAGTGGGAACCGATGTTCCCCATTTTTTCTCCGCTTTTCCTGCTGTATTAGCACAGGTTTGAGATTCAGCTCGGGATGTTCGCAGGCCTGCTTGACGGGCGGCTGATCAGACAAGTGGACCATTTCTTCACCCTACAGGGACCAACAAAAATCCCTCATATTCACTGCCACCCGGTTCGTGATATGTAGATCCAGCTAGGCCACTAAGTCGGACAGTTCATCGAGCATGTGGGATGCAATGAATCATTTCTAGAATCCAAGTGGTAGGAGTTGATAGATTATCGGCTAAAAACCACCTATGAACAAGTCCCACCCAAAAGGGGCAGGTGCAGCGAGAAACACGGTTATTTGATATGTCGAGTCTGTTGAGTGGCCCACCTCGGAGTTCCTAGATATATAAAGCTTCCTCTTTGTTCTTTTCATTTATTCCACTCTTTGCAACATCGTTCTACCACGTTCTAACGACCAACCCACTGCGGATACAACATTTCTTCAACTATGTCTGACAGCAATGAAAGCAGTAATGATGTCCAGGGTCCATCCACCCCCTCAAATGGACAAGATGGTGGAAATGGACAAGACGGTGAGATGGACTACAACCACCGGGGTCAGGGCACGATGAGCAGTGACTCTAATGCTACCAGCGACCAAAGGAGAGATGCTTTCCTTCAAAATTTACAAGGTGCACAAGGGCGATAAAAGCACCGACGAACTACCTGCTTTCTGAATTTCAAAGGGAGCACTTCTTGAAGGTACCCTGAAGAGTTTTCGGGATGAAATAGTGAAACAAAATAAACTTCACAAGAATTAGTATGTGGAATGTGGATCTTCTTCTGCCTTTGTCTAAATCGGCTTGATGCTTACCTATTTGACATTCTCTGAAGCTCTCGGCGGTGTTTTTGCACCAAAAGCGGTGCCGAAGTACCCGATGAAAAGAAGTTAGAAGAATACGTTGGGACGAAGACAGATGAAAATGTTGGTAGCCAGGAGCAGCGGAGCAAATCGACTTTGAGTCACTAATTCCCCCTGTTTATCTCTAGGGCGATTTCATAATTTACATCCAGAGTCGTTTCAAGAAGCCAGGTGGTCCTCTTACCGATGAGGCTAGAGAAGGTCGCGACTTGGATCTCGGCCTTGATAAGCCCGTATGTCCCTCCTCATTCTGATCGGGGTCTTCGAAACTTACCCCGTGCAGAGTGATCCCAGGGATCTTCCAAAGAATGAACTCTCCCGAGTCAAACCCGAGTTCAAGCCCGATGACTGGAAGGCTACCGCTGGAAAAGCGCCAGTTATGTAAGATACTACTATCTCAATTCTCGCTATGGCATTTTAACATGCTTTTGAAAAAGTAACCCGGCAGATATGGATGAGAAGCACTGGGGCATTGTCATGCGCAATAACGGTGTTCTGTGTGGGCTACATCCTCAGGGCGAAATCGCCAAGGAGATCACACTACCCTCTGGAAAGACTGTCACCATTCCTTTGATTACCGTGCCAACTCCCGCCAGAAAAGCCTACTGTCCCGGTATGTTACATCCATGACTTATTATATGTTTGTTACACAACTAACTTCTCCCAGCCTTTGCTATCAAACCGAGGGCTATAGCGCCCCATGACATCACATTTGAAGACAAGGACAAAGAGAAGGTGTCTGATGACAAAACGGTCTGCATTACCTTCATAGGAAAAGATATATGCATGCTGTGATTTATATCTGACAGCATTGTAGAAGTTGTTTTGTATTCCGAGGTTCCGGATCACCGACAAAACAAGCGTTGAAGTCTTCGAGACCCGCAACTCCTTGGAGAAGTCGTTGGCTGAAAGTGGATTTACTCAGCACTCGGTGAAGGGCGGCGTGTCAGTGTTTCTTTGCATTGACTGTCTCGAGGTCAAGATCACTAATAAATAAACGCAGAGGTGGCACGATAGGCCCTGTATCAGGAGGCTTCAGTGGCGGCTATAATTCTCGCACTGATAACATCAACGCCGATGCCTTTTCTGTCGAGAGAAAGTACATGCATATCAGTTTCAATGTAAGTGAAGCTTCCGCAGGCGTCACAATGAAATGCTGATAGTGGTCACAACTAGTACCCCAGGGTTCAATTTCATTTAGATGAAAGCCAGCTTGAACTGACCACAGAATGTCAGACTGCTCTCAAAGAGCTGAGAAAAAATCCGACAATGGATTAATTGGGCAAGTTTTACAAGCAGTTTGGTACGGAAAAACTCGATATACTGCAATGAGTAAGCCAGATTGGCTAATCTTACTGTAGGGGAATTGTTTGAGCCTGAAGTCCATCTGGGTGGTCGACTGTTTTCTACTGAGGAGTTTGACGGAGTTGTAGGATCGACAGTTGGACAAAAGATCACCAATCTTAAGATTGCAGCCGGCGCCTCTTTTTCAGGTGGAGGGTTCTCGGCGAAAGTCAGCGGCAAATATGAGGAAGCAAATAATAAAAAGGAGGACATCAAATCGGCCACAATGACCCAGTCAATTAGCTGGTGTGCTGACGGAGGCGACACCACGCTTTGCAATAAGTATGTCCGCTCGACGTTCTACGACACTTGTTACCTTCAGGAATTGACATCTGTGTTCTAGCGCTCCCGCGTGGTGCCCTACTGTTGCTTCATTTTACAACTGGCGTGTGATGCAGGTGAGAGCAGACCCAGTCATCTACTCCCCCCAAGACTAACATTTCCACAGAAAACCAAGCTCGTCAAACTCGTGGACCACATTGGGTTGCTTCCCACGTACAACGATATCCCGTGTCTCACTCGAAATATAGAGTGTCTTGCTGCTGCTGAAAAGGACTGTCTTTCGTTTTCCAGCGAGAATTTTGTCAATTTTGCTCCTGTCCCATCACCGGAATATTGTGTCTCTGATGTATCATTCAAGATACCTATTGCGGAACCCAGCACTCTCTTCTACGATAAAGAGGATGAGAAAACAAAGATCAAGGTATAAGGTTTATTCAGTGACAGGAAAGTATAGTATTTGGACCACTGACACCACAATAGATAAAGCTCGGCGTTTAATTCCCCATCAGGGTGGACATAGACGGTGTCAGACATGGGATCCTGAAGAAGCCTGATAGCCAGGAACTTTACGTCAGCAAAGAAACGCCATCGAATGTCTTCATAGAGTTCGTACCGGAAGGCGAGAAAGACTATCGGAAGGGACGCGAACCGGCCAGTGGTAAAGTGACGTGGAAACTTTCTCGCCCTGGAGAAAACAAATCCTACTGCCTCTTCAATGAGTGAAACACTTTTAGGTGCTCTTCGTTTAAGGTCGAGATCGTGTACCGGCTCTCTCTCAAGGAATATAAACCTGGAGGTAGTCCGGCATATCCCATTCGGTACTCAGATGTTGAAGCAAGCGCTCCGATGGAAACTCTGAGAGAGCTTCAGGCTATTGACACCATTGAAATGGCCGTAAGAGAAGCCGCGAATGCCCTCGAGGCCCTCAAAATGAAAGAAGAAGAGGAAGCTGTTGCCAAGGCCAAACAAGAGGCAGCGGATGCCCAGCATCAAGCGGAGGTAATCAAATTGCGAGACAAATGCTTCCCATTTTGGGAAAGTGAGAAGGCATTGAGGAAGCGGCTGTCAGGTGTTCTCAGCAAGGAAACGGCAGCGTCTGTTAATAGCGACATTGAAGGCATCGAGACCAAGATGATGGCGGGGGTTGAGATTCTTCTGTCGTATGCAAGGCTGCATATCACCTGGACCAGGGTCGAAACATTGATGACGGAGAATCAAGTGCCAAAAGAATTCCAAGGCCTCTTGCACAGGAGCTATGCTGCCTTTGGCTTGAGTGAGAAGTGGGCCGAGGCTCCTACGAAGCCGGAATCTGCCAACGGATATTGCGAGAGAAGGCGAGATATACCCCCCCCCCTATAAGGGGATAGAGTTTGAGCTGGGGAAGCTTTTTTTCAGGGTTGTAGGGTCTAGAAGGCAGCCCATCAAGTCGTTTAACCCTCGACGCTGGTAGCCCGAGATATCTGCCACATCCCATAATCCAAAAATCAGAGGGATTCTGCCGGTCGGGCGGTCGAGCGGTCAGGCCACGGGGTGGCAGCTTAATAGTAGAAGGCGGCTACAAGCCACGAAGCATCCAGAAAGATATAAATTTCCGTCTCGGAGAGACCTCTGCTTTTCTGTTGCGTCCACAACGTAATAGTCGTCATCCTCCAAGGGTTCGTGCTCAGACACCATAGCACGAAGACTCCTTGATACTCGTCGTCCGACGTGACTAGGTCATCCGTCCACAATTAGCCAAGATCGGCAGGTACCTGGGGGGAAGGGTCCGAGCGGAAGGGATATCTAGCCGAGAATCCCGGAGCTGGCGAATGTAGCGCGTCGGGGTATGGATACCAGATGCGTTCGGTCCGGGTCGTCTTAGGTTGCATTGGATATCCTGAAAGCAGATGCTTCCGGGAAGAACAAGAGCTTGCTATAAATAGCACAATTACCATAGGGCTTTTGTAGGATTTCTTCCTAACATCCTGGCCCTGATCAAAATCCTTTCTGTGTTCATAATGAGATGCTTAATCTAGGTACTATATAACAGGTACATAAAATATAATCATCGCTGTTCCTTGTTCTCCACCTCTATATAGAGAAGAGAAGCTCGCAATGGGAGCGTCCCGGAAACGATATACATTAGCTAGAGTACAGGTAGACGAGAAAGGTTCGGCAGCGTCTCTGCTATAAATACAGTCTCTGCTGCTACTTCATAAACCGTGATTTTGCTTTGCATATTCCGTACGGTACTATCTAACCCTTGATTAGGTATAATTTCAGCCAGTATACAACCCATTCGCATCCCTTCTCATCATCCACATGGGGTACGGATCGTCCATATCAGCCCACAAGCAAAAAAGCGAAAAAACAGAGACCTTCATCGTCCCATCAAAGCCAGTGGCCTCCCGCTCCACCTCATCAATCTCCGGCCAAGGTTCAACGGCCTTCACCCACCACTTTTTATAATACTCCCCCGCGGCCTCTCCGATGAGTCTCTCATCGGCGTTTCCTAAGGCCTGACACACCTCCTCGTCGACGACAAGACACACGTGGCGCTGCGTAGAGTAGCCCCAGTTATAGTTCTCTCTTCCTCTACCGCTGGCGTAGTCATCGATCCAGGATTCGTAGTGGGATCGCACGCCGTGGAGCGAGATGCCATTGAGCCGGGTGCGGTCTTCGATGATGATGGGGCGGTGTTTGGCGCTGATCAGCTGGTAGCCATTTTTGAGTTCTTCGGGGGGTCCGGCATAGTAGTCTTTACACCATGCATATTCTTCGAGGATTTCCCGTTTTATGCAGGAATTTGTTAGTTCGATGATTCGGGGAAATTGGCGGTAGGATTGAGGGCTGTATGTGGTGCGGTAAATCACGAAACCCCAGGATGGTGCTTTAGGGAGTCGAAGCCAATCTATGAGACGTTGGGAAGGAGTGGGCACCATGTTCTTTGTAATTAAATATAGGAGAGATAGGAACCGGAGGAAAGAAACTCCCTAGACCGGGCAATTAATGAAGCCTAGGATAGGAGGGAGGGTTTGGGTTGGAAATTGAGTGGCTACTTATACTTTCCGTCTGCCTTGCCAAGAGACTTGGCACTATGCCAAGGTAATATTCCACCACGCGCTGTCAATGTTCATATGTACAATCTAATCTATATCATCCTGGTTTATGGTGGTATCCGTGTCCCTTAAAGTGCGAAGGATCTCCCGTACCTGCACCGCCGTAAGTCCTGTCCGTGTCGCCCAATACCTGTCCATTGCCGTGGCCCATCTGTCAACCCAGCTATGAGTATGAAGGCCCACTTGATGGAAATGGTCCCTGACCCATATACTCCACCACTCTTGTGCATACTCTCTGCGGTTGCCGAGGTCCGCCCACCTATTATTGGCTAGGCCTAATTCTGAACGAACTTCATTTAGCGAGCTTGCCATGTGGGAGTTGATGACAGGATGGTTCAAGTAATGGATAACCGCAACGGCCGCTCGCATGCTGTTTAGTGCAGCTGTGTAGTTGTCATCCTTGACAGAACTCTCCATATCTTTGTCATTGTAAGGTCTGTGCCTCATCCAAAGCTGGACGTTGTCAGTATGCTCTAGGTGTCTGTAGTATTGATCATTTACATACGCGTTTCTTTACCTGGTTCAGTTCACCATCGAGTAGAACGAACCCTCTGTCATTTCTTGTGCTGCCAAGTGCGTTCATCATCCGCACGATGGGCCGATCCGATTGGGCACCTCCCCTCATAGGGGGTGGATCCCTAAGTATCGGTGCATCCAAACCTTGCCGGATGAAATCAGCGGAGAGGGGAGGGTATACCGGTGCGCTTCCAGAAGGCACAACACCATTATGAGCATCCCGGACAAAATCAGCAACAGTCTGTAATTCAGGGACATGTTCCACCACGAAGTTTTCCTCGTTCTGTCGAGTAACTGGCCGAGTTCCAACATCTGTACTCAAGCAGTTGTCGTTGTCTTGAAATCCATATCCCGCGCTCCAGATAGCGTTATCGCGTGGCCACCGACCCCTATTTCTATACTGCATTTTAGAAGCAGGTGCACATTAGTAGTTAATAGAGCTTTAGATGACGATAGACTCACAGCTAATGACCGCACAATCCACTCTGCGCCGCCAATGGTGCGCGTAAATGATCGGGAGGATCTTTTCTCCAGATCCCGGGCTTCGAGGTCATCTTCGGCGTCATCTTCGAGGTCACCTTCAGGATCGTCGTCCCAGTGTCTGTCCGGAATAGGACATATAATCGCGTCTACGTCTCCCAGCACCGCATTGTAGAAGGACATATTGCATACTATGAGATCTACCAGCCGCCAGGATCCCTCTCGCACCCAATCTCGGGCCCCGGTCATATAAGCCCGGATCTTTTCCACAGTGAGATTTGGATAAAGGGAGATAACATGTCTTTTCCAGATCTCTCGCGAAGCTTCTGAGACAGTGTATGATAAGACCAGCGTGCTGAGAAGATCTTGCATGGCCTCCTGGGCTTTGCTGCTCGCGCGGCGTACAAGTGCTGACGGGCTGCCGAATTCATCTGGTTCCGGGTTAGTCTCCTTCGATTCTCTAGAACGCGTCAGCTACGTACAAGACGTGACATTCCCGAGAAGGTAGTCATCCAGCACCAGATCGCGCTTCCAATAGTCGTCTATGCCGCAGGACGGATCATCCATGAACTCTTTCACACTCTGTTCCAAGCTGGTGTCCGCATCTGTGTAAGAGCGCTTGCTGAGTGTAATGTACTTGGGCTTGCAACACCGGGCTCGGCCGCCGTCTCCCTCACAGCCATTTCTGGTTTCCAGGGCCACTCTTACACGGTCGTTGGGGCAGCCGCTAGCACAGTATCCATCTACGGCGGCACTGTCCACGGAAAAGATTCCGACGTTATCAAACCACTCACAGTCCTCCCATTTGGTGTCATCCTTTTGGTCACAGCAGTACTTTCTCTCCTGAAAGGTGGCCTCCTGCCCATTCCAGGTATATTTGAAGGTCTTCCATTGGCAGTAGTCCCCCCCACTACCTGTGCTTGACTCTGCCACCAAGGTATTCGGGCAAACCCCTTCATCGCACTTGGGAGATTCGGCCCATGTGCACTGAGAATAGAGCTTCATGCTCGGGGTGTCGAAAGTGCAGCATGCTGCCTGGTAATTGTTGTTTTCACAATCCCGACTATGAGATCCGATCTCCACCGTTTTTTCCGGGCAATTCCCTCTCCCATTACACTTACCATTGCGGTGCCCATACCAGCCGCAAGTTGGAAGAGGTGAGTCAGGGGGACAGCAGAAGAGATGGTCTCCGCGCCGACCGCAGCTGGCGTTGTCTAACATACCTTCTCCCTTGCGCGCGCCGCTATCGCTGCGAGCGATCAGGGTCCAGCCAGCGGGGCAGTTCTCGAAACAATTTGTCCACTTGCACTGCTGGTGAACTTTGCGGGTCTCCAATTCGTCTGTCACAGTGCTCATAGCAAGTGCCTTGACTTTGCGATTGGCGACTTCACCTAAAGCGCTGGAGTAATTGCCGTAGGGAAGATCGTGAGAGACAGCCCAGACCATGACGCCTCCCAGACACTGCCCACGTGCAAACTCCGCCTTCAACTTGAAGGTATCCGCGTCGTCATACGTCAGCCACTGGTTGTTGTCGAACTTGAGGATCTTCACAGCGGCATCCTTGTCCAAGGTGGGCTTCACTTGACGGTCATTCATGATCTCAACAATCTCTGAATTTAGCAAAATTCCCACCTCGTTGCTACATACTCCTGCATTTCCTCCAGACTGAAAGGTGCATCCTGGCTCCATACAGCTGGGGCTCGTGGCAGAGAACACACGGGCGTAGAATGCCAGGCCCAGCACGACCTTTTCGGGGTTGATATCGTTCCGCCATAACAGGTCTAGTGCGTTCGTGATCTCAGTCAAATTCGTGTGAGAATTCAACTCAGGCGCAAGCCACTTGTTGTTTCTGTCCCAAGCCCCATGGAGGTCGTAAGACATAATGTTGAAAAAGTCCACATCCTTCTGTAAGTTGACAATATCAAAGTTTTGCAGATACCAATATGAGGCAGGAAGAGTGATAGTAAGCCCATCTCGACCGCCCGAGGCTTTCAACGCCCTTTTTAGGTTGGCGATAAAGGAAGGGAAATTCTTGTAGTCCTCAGGTCGGCCACTTCGATCCTCAGCCACAGGATATTCCCAATCCAGGTCGATACCATCAAAGTTGTACGTTGACATGAAACTAATCAAAGACTTGAAGAAAGCCTTCTGATTGGCCTCAGAGCGTGCAATATCAGAAAAAACCGTAGCAGTCGGTCCGGGATCATTGAACGTCCAGCCACCCACAGCAATATAGACCTTTAGATCAGGGTCGGACCTTTTAAGGGCTGTTAGGCGCTTCATCAAATCCTTCTCATATGTGCTAGGCGGAAGCACTTCAAATGTCTTTGGGTCAATGGAGGCGAATGCATAATTCAGATGAGTGTAGACTCCCACAGGGATCTGTTCAGGATAGAAGCTATGGCAGGGTCGCCTCATGCTCCACCCTTCATAATATCCGACGACACGGCCGAGTCCGCTGTTCTTGGAACATGAAGGGCGCTTCACCTTTTTAGTACCGCAAAATTCCTTCGTCGTACCGCAGAAGCCGAACTTGGAACAGCAGACATTCAACGGGCACTTCGCGCTATCCGCAAACTCTCCATAGCCACCCGGGTCGCACTCGGCTCTGCTATCGCAGCCGGCCACACACACGTCTTTTGCACAGTCTATGTGGTCCCAGTTAACATTGTCTTCCGAGGCAAGGGCATACGTACAGTCAGGTCCTAAACCACAATACCCAAACTTATTGCAACAACCCGTTGCACAAGGGTTAGACGCATCGCATTCAGGCCGGTAATCGCAACCGGCAACACAGTCGGCGCCACAGTAGTCGTCACCCACACCACAGTAGCCAAATTTGTTGCAGCAACCGGTTGCACATGGACTAAGCGCACTGCAGTCCTGAGCCCGAATTGGTAAGAAGAGCAAGAAACAAGAGATGAATAACATCCAGAGCGAGGCCGCCGGAATCTTGAACCGGTGCATGGTGCCAATTCTTCGCTTCGACCTTGGACGAGAGGAGGTGTCAACCATAAACACTCAAGTAAAAAGGCGAGTAGAAATAGTAGCGTAATAATGTGTTTAACAGGGGGTTGCAGTCTGATTCCCCTTTACCAATTGAGAATGACAGTCCGCTCTGCTCGGCTTCTGCCTGTTCCCTACTTGAACTGCGTCGGTCTTGGTCCAGGCAATGGACCCATCCAACGTGGTCCACATATTGAGGGATTTAATGTCGTTCAGCGAGCTACGACGAATTCCCCTGAGGACGCTAGGAGAAGCGAGGCAGTAGCAAGTACTAGGTGCCTTCGTCGCCCCTCCAGTAACCGGCTCTGGCGGATGCATCTCGTATGCCAAGAGAGGCGAGGTAGTAGGCTGCTATCATTCTTTAGTCGCTGTAAGGACATCCCTCGTCTAGCTACCCCGTCGGGCTGCTGGTGGTATGATTGTGCTCGTTTCCGAATGCAAAACCGACTCACGATCCCTGCAACATCCTCCACATGCTTACTGATGGTCTTACTGGAGTAGGTTTAAACGCCAACAGGCTTGGCAATCGATAGTGTTTGCCAAGGAACAAGTGTTCGTTAGATTGCAGTGAGACCAAGTTCAACACAGTCCGTTGCTTGGCTGTCTCACATCCGGCCCTATGAGCATCGAGGAATCAGGAATTCAGGGGCCAAAAAACTCTTTGAGAGAGGATGGACTTATCAACCCTGTGAAAACTTTGCTGTGGTGGAGTCTGCCATTGATTGCGGTTCCCTTTTGAGATTACTACTCTTTTTCCGTTCCGGCCATCCGTGGTAATTGTCCGCGTAGTTGAGAACGCAGGGAATTTATGGTCAAGAGGTCCCCTTGATCCTGATTGTATTGTTTAGCAAGAAAGAAATTTTTCCTCTTGAAGTTGGTCGTTTTTGCTGAAGATGAGGTTGCTCGGAATCAATCGGGTAGGGTTTCAGACCCTGTCGATCTGTTTGTTGATCCTCCACATTCTGCTGATATGCACGGCACGGGCCGATCACAGCCATCTGCATCATCGTCATCATCATGATCGTCGGAACAACGAAGCTCAATCACTGCGCAATGCGACGGACTCTGATGATTCCGTGACCATGGTCAAGAATGCTCTGGCAGTTCTGACTCAAGTCAACAAGGACCGCGTGGAGAATCCCAATTTCAACCAATACACCTTCCAGGAGCCTCGCCAGACAAAGGTATAGATCCCGTCGAGTCAGCGAGACTAGTGAGACAAAGTACTTATGCGCAGCAGGCATCGTTTGCGACGGCTCCACCGCTAGACTATAGTCCTGAAGCGGTAGAGAATGCTCGCCTTCGGAAACGCGAGGCTACCTCTGCCACGACCCGTGGCAACAGAGCTTATACTATCCCACCCGAGCTAGCTAGAGCGGCTAAGGTTGTTGCAGAATCTGCCGATAACACGCCTAGTGGAAATCACAGCGATGTAGCGGCTGATATTCGCCGCAAATACGGTCAAGGAAAGCGACAGTCTAATACCCCGCCCCAGGCACTTGTTCAGTCAAATGGCCTTTATGACTTTCAGTCTTTCGCCGAAAATGTGAATATGTCGCTGGTTGACCAACAGAGTAACTCGGGACTTCAAAAGCGCGCCCCTTCTCTGTATTGGATGCCGCACATGGAAAAGAATGGCCATAGTCCATTCGCCCCGACCGGCTACAAGGTATTTCGACGCTCCTCCACAGTTTCTTCGCAGTCGCAGAATCTAAGACAATAAAGTAGATTTGGAGAAATGTTCGCGACTACGGAGCCAAGGGTGACGGGGTCACAGACGACACGGAGGCTATCAATCGAGCAATTTCAGACGGAGGGCGCTGCGGTGCCGACTGCGGCTCGAGCACCAGGTACCCTGCAGTAATCTGGTTTCCAGGAGGCACGTACCTAGTTAGCTCGTCCATTATTCAATATTATAATACCCAGTTCATAGGTGATGTAAGTTCCACGCACAGTCCTTCGGTAAGCATTTCTAACGACTGCTAGCCACTGAACGTGCCCACGATCCTGGCTGCATCGAGCTTCGTTGGGCTGGGCGTAATTACTTCAGATCCCTATGTGAGCGACAATGGGCAATGGTATGTCAACCAGAACAACTTTCTGCGCAGCATCAAGAACTTCAAGATCGATATTCGGCCAACGGATCCGTCCGCCTATGTATGCGCAATTCACTGGCAGGTGGCGCAAGGAACTTCGCTGGAAAATATCGAGTTCTACATGCTGTACAACTCAGATGTCCCGGGGAACACACAACAGGGTATCTATATGGAGAATGGCTCAGGAGGCTTTCTGACTGACCTGACCTTTGTGGGCGGGAACTTTGGGTGAGGCCGCTCCTGGCAATATTAAAAGGAGTGCTAATCGAGATCCCAGTGCGTATTTTGGCAATCAGCAATTCACAACCAGTCAGCTTGTCTTCGTGAAGTGCCACACTGCTCTTCAAGTCCATTGGGACTGGGCCTGGACCATGCAAGACTATGTTATTGAATCATGCACGAATGGTTTGGTTATCGTTGGCGGGGTATTTTGATCCATTCATTCTCTTACATGGAATAACAACGCTGATGAGAATAGGCTGGCGGTCCCATGAGTAACGGGCAAGGCGTTGGCTCCCTGATCCTAGCCGATGCAATCATTGCCAATACCCCAAATGGCATCGTTACGTCCCTCCACACGGAGAATTCTACCTCCTTACTCCTTCAGAACGTTGGATTCTTCAACGTTAAGACGGCGGTTGTGGATAGTGTAAAGAATCAGGTCCTTCTCCCTGGCGGCAATGAAGTGCTGAAAGACTCTTGGGGTTTTGGTATGGTCAATAATGCAACTGGGGTTGGGTCCTTTGTGAATGGGCAGGATATCCCTGTCATGAATAGAACCGAGAAAATGCTTGGAAGTCAGGCCTATGTCAAGCCAAACCTGTTCACACGCCGTCGTCCCCAGTATGAGGATCTCTCAACTGCTGACATTGTCAACGTGAAACTATTCGGTGCCAAGGGCGACGGAAGCTCTGATGACACGGTCGTGCTGAATTGGATCCTGGAATATGCTGCCAACTTATCCTCAGTCGTGTATTTCCCTTATGGTGTGTATATGATCAGGGATACATTGAAAGTCCCCGTGGGTTCGCGAGTTATGGGCCAGGCATGGCCTCAGATTGTAGCCACCGGCTCCAAATTCGAGGATATCAATAACCCTTATGTCGCTGTCAAGGTTGGAAATCCTGGGGATGTGGGCATCATTGAAATCCAAGACATGATGTTTACGGTTTCTGGTCCGACTGCAGGAGCTGTTCTTGTCGAGTGGAATGTCGAACAGTCCGTCAAAGGCTCTGCTGCCATGTGGGATTCGCACATCCGTGTCGGTGGCGCCATCGGTTCCAAGCTTCAAAGGGAACAATGCCCTAAGCAGACGCGTCGTGTGAATCCGAATTGCATTGCGGCTTCTCTCCTGCTACATTTGACTCCATCGTCAACTGCGTATCTCGAAAACATCTGGGTCTGGGTTGCGGACCACGATTTGGACGTGATTACACAGGATCAAATTGACATCTACTCAGCCCGTGGTATCTTGATTGAAAGTCAGCTGGCCTGGCTCTACGGGACCACGTCAGAGCATAACGTCATGTACCAGTATCAGCTCTCTGGGGCGAAGAACATCCTGATGGCTATGATCCAGACAGAATCCCCGTACTATCAACCAGTGCCTCTCGCACCCAATCCCTTTACACCGGGAGCGTTCCCTGACGACCCCTTATTCGACGATTGCAAGTCCAACCCACTCAAGTGTGCTGTATCCTGGGCAGTCCGTATCATTGACTCGTCTTCCGTCTGGATTCTCGGAAGCGGCCTCTATAGTTTTTACTCAGACTACTCGCAGGACTGTCTTAAAACTGAGAACTGCCAGCAGAGGGGCTTTGAGATTGAGCAGAGCTCTGATATTTGGATTTATAATCTTTGCACCAAGGCCATCGTCGAAATGGTCACTCCGTTCCAAGGGGTACCCACATATGCCCGGGATAATGTCAACGGTTTCCTCTCGTCGATCCTGGCTTGGTTGGGTGGTGCCGAGCAAACAGCAGGCCAAAGGGAGTTCCCAGGTTTTAGTATCTACACTTCTTCTGGGCTGGAGGATGCTGATCTTCCTCGGGCCTGCAAGAATTCTCTGGCTGAGCGCATCAAGTGTGATCCGCACTTGTCCTCTATGATGGAGCTGAGTTATCATGGATCCCTGGATAATGACACACTCACTGATTTAGTCTGCGATGCCAGCTGTGAGGCAAGCCTTCGGCAGTGGTACAACTCCGTGGAGCGAAACTGTGCGGGCTATATGATGCCCGGCGGATCTCCTCCAGTGGTATTTGGAGCACGTATGTGGGCTGGGTTCAATGAAACGTGCAGCAAAGACAAAGGGACTGGAGAGTATTGCAATGGTATACCCAACATGTCCCCCGTCTCCCTAGCCTCCGTATATGTATAAATGCTAACATGGAGCTGCAGCTATTATCGATGGCTTTACCATAGTAGAGTCTACCGATGAAATGCCGGACAACGAAATCTGCTCGTACTGCTATGTTGAGCGATTCCAAATGATGCAGCGGAGCCCCTATTCAGCATACAATGAACACTACAAATCCGTTCTCGAGACGATCAACAAACGATGCGGTCTGAGTGGGCCAACTGATATCCGTGAAGTCCCTATGGACATGCCTGTGGAGGAGGAGAAGCCTATCTGTCTTTCTGATACGACATACACCACCGTGGACGGGGATACCTGTACGTCCATTGCAGTGGCAAACAGCGTCTCCTCCGCGGCTTTGTACATCGGTAACCAGCACCTCATACGTTGGTGTTCCTCTATCAAGGCAGGCCTAGAACTATGTCTCCCATTGCCATGTGAGCGAACGTACACTCTCCAACCATCAGACGACTGCGCGAGTATCGAATACGCCTTCTCACTCAAATACGGGGACGTCCGAAAATATAACCCCTGGGTCTCCTACGACTGCGACAACATCCAAATCGCAAGTAAGATATACGGCACCAATATCTGTCTCTCGCCGCAAGGTGGTGAACACATAACGAACAAGACTAGCCATGGCGCGACTACGCCCTCAACCTCCGATGGCCATGCGCCTCTTGCGGTGCCCCCGCCTGCCAATGCAAGCCTGGCTGATGGGACTACCACAAACTGTGGTAGATGGCATGAGGCTGCTGCTGACGAGAGCTGTGTTGCAATATGTGTCCAGAATAGCATTACTCATGAATTGTTCGTGCAGGTCAACCCGTCGCTGAATGCGAAGGATTGCACGCGGAGCTTGCAGGTTGGAAAGACCTATTGTGCAGGTCCGACGTATTTTTGGAATGAGCCATTCGAGGATGATGAGTTGTGAAACCTCTGCGACAGGGTTGGGGAATATTCCATGAAGATGGATTTATCTGTGAATAGCCTGGTAGTAATAGACCGTATATACTCCACGGAGATCTGAAACTTATCATTCTAGAAATTGTTATATTATTGCATAGTATGTAAGATACTAGCATTCTCTCTAGGTTATACTATAGTGTGTATTGTATCTCCATGGACTGTTAATGTATATTTACAGTACCTGCGTGTCACCAAACCAACGCAGTTTAGCTTTTTTTGTATATTGCCAAGTCCTTGCGTCCAGTCCCAGTATCGGAATGGTTTGCCAGAACCAGTCAATCTCTTGATGATATGGATAAATTTAGCAGAAGACTTCAGCGCCTCACCTCTGTACTGATTGCATCCGAATGTTTTGATATATCCATCGATTTGTCTAGTAATTGAACATTACGATACGCTCCTCCACGCCTCAAAATCTCTTAGACCTTGATCCAAAATGAGCACAAAGTAGCCAATGGCACAGGCACAGGTTTTTGAGCACATATTATCTCCTGATTATCTGATCTTTCTGATGCTACATCATGATGAGTCTAAGATTCCCCGCGGCGTATTGGACATCTTAAAGGTTTATTCATTGATTAGAATTACAAGGGGAAACACTCTTATTTTTGTGTCTGAAGCCTGCTGCACTGAAAATAGCGAAGTACATATGTTTTACAATCCATCGCGGCTGTGATGGTCCTCGATAGGGGGTTTGGGACCAAGGCCGGACCAGACCCGGACCAGCACAGCATCGCCCCGAGGAGATGACTGGGGTCGTCAACGCTGATATAGGATCGGCAAAGTGTATAATCTCTCAAAGCTCGTCTACCAACGTTGTGTACCTACTGCCTCTTGCGTGGCGCGGGTACTAAGACAGGCATATATAGCAGGAGAGACACATGGGCGAAAACCCCACGTTGCCCCCTGCTCTTGTGGTCTCCTCTCAGAACTTTGTCGTCTGTGTTTATCTCATTGGGACAAATTACGCTTGAAAACTCACTGCCTAATGCTCTTGGAGACATTGGTAATGGAAGAGATGCTCAGAGAGTGGCTGACGCTAGGCCACGGACGGCTTGTCGCTGGACTGGTTATTGCAGCAATGCTGCTCGAGGTACCCGGGTTCGTTGCGATGCTATACTGGGAGGTCGGCGTGTATGTGCCTCCGACAGCGACGGGCACGCCGGCGCCGAACACGGGATCGTTGGTGACAGTTGGATAGGACGAGGCCCATGCGCTGCCAGTGCCACTGAAGGAGATGCCGTCAGTTGCGATGGCTATGGTTGGGATCGCCGTACAACCTGACGAGCTTGAGGTTATGGTTGTTGTTGTTGTCGTCGTCGTCGTCGTCGTCGTCGTCGAGGAGGTTGTTGAGGTGGTACTCGTGGACTCGGGCTCCTGCGGTGGCTGTCATCCTCACTGCCACCATCACTACCATCGCCCTCCTCGTCGTCGTTGTTATTGTCCAGGCCCGGTGGCTGAGGAGTGTCCAGCTTGGGCCACGGGGAGCTGTTGCTGATACTGATGCTGGGGCTATCGATGCAAAGTCTTGTTAGTAAAATCTTCGACTGGGTAGTCTGAGCTCAAAAACATACATCTTCGGGGGCCAGTCACATAGGAACCAGCAGTTGGACGAACTGCTGCCCGGGCTGCTTTCATCATCCGAGTTAGACCGCGGGGGAGGTCCTTTGATGGGCAGGGGGATGATAATGCCAGAGATATTTTGCGTGGTGCCATCATCATCATCCGTGTATTCGAAGGGCGGTAAGATGATGGCAGAGTGATTGAACTGAATGGTCACACTGGTGCTGGTAGGTGCGTTCGAGATGGATGGAGTTCCAGAGATGGTGATAGGATCCACTGTGAGGGTCGGTGTTTCTGCCGCTGGTGGCGTGATGGTCTTCGGGACGCCTTCAATCAGGGAGGTGATGACAGGCGCCTGCATGGGAGGAAGTGTCACTGGCGGCAGGACAATGACGCAGGGGAACCAACACGAGGCACTCGGAGTACTCAATCCCCACCACCAGTTGGCCAACGTGATGGTCTGGCTGGGCTGAGGTGTTTCACTACCATTTGCGCCGTCTGCGAGCAACAGCCATGCGTTTATTGTTGACCAGTACGGATGACCTGTAGCGTCGGTGTTTTCGGCCGCCAGCGCTGGGAAGTAGTTAGTTCCGTACGGACTGACCATCTCGGTTGCGCCGATTGTAATGAGATTGTAGAGCCAAGTATCACTGCTGAGGTACGTGGATACCAATCGTTGCTGGCAGTTTTGTGCATCCACACAAGCCTCCGCCGGATCATGGTCCTGATACCAGCTGTACAGCCCTGCGCCAGCGATCTGCACGTTGGAGGAGGAGACCATCCGAAGAGCCCACGAGACTGCACAGCTGTTCTCATCATTTGAGTTGCAGTTGGTGAAGTTGGGGTCTGCGTTGAACACGCCGACAGCATCATCAAACGGAGCGGGTGCAGAGGGGACAGGAGGATAGTAGGGACTCTCAGTTTGGATCATCCCCATGAAGATGTTCTCCGCTTCATAGAGCTCGTACTGATAGAGCACATTGTGCTCGGACGCAGTCCCATACAGCCACGTTGGGCCCTTACTTTCGATCAGTATGCCTATTTGGTTTGTTAGCAGGGATAGATTATCAGATGTTGATTCAACGTCTCACCTCGTGCAGAATAAACATCGACCATCGTGTTAGCTGGATCGTCCATGTCATGGTCCGCTGTCCAAGCCCATACATTTTCCAGGTACGCTGAAGATGACGAAGTCAAATGCAGAAGCATGGAAGCCGCAATACAGCCGGAATTGATATTCAGCGTGGATTTGGTGGGACACTGGGACACCTGCAGTTCGTTTCCCAAGGCTCCGCCAACTCGGAAATGAGAATCTGTATATCAGACCGTCAGTTTACTTTCCAGGTAGGCGACAGTCAAGGAGCAATATGTCTCACCCCACATGGCTGCGCTACCAGGAGAAGATGCCTGGATATTCCACTCCATAAGCACAGCGCCAGCCGTGCCACCCTTGGTAGTGAAGAGCATATCCTGGATCTCCACCGATCCAACATCTCCCACGTTACCAACCTGTACCATCACCCGGGGCGACGTCATATCCCCGAAGTTATCCCCAGAAGCCATGATTTGACTCCATACCTCCCCAACAATCTTTGCACCTTCGGGTATGACAACAGTATCAGTCACTATATACGTACCGGCTGAAAAGAAGATGATAACGTCTTGGTTCTTATAATCATCCAGAGTACTCTGGATAGCATGGGTGTCGTCCGTTGAACCATCACCAGCAGCTCCGGCATAGGTCTTCACATTCACCACCTCGGCTGCAGTATAGCTCTCATACTGGGGCTTCGAGGCTGCAAAGTATCCCCCGTCATTTCCGCGAAGCTGCGCGGTATTAGGACGGAGAGGGGTCACATTAGAGCCTTTAATATAGGCTCCGTTTGGGTTATTCGAGTTGTAGATCCGGCCCACGGCCCAGAAGCTGATCAAGGTAGATCCACCAGCGAGGAGAGTGCTGCCATCTGAGGTCTGGACGGCAACGGGGGTACCGTTCATCTGGACATTGTCCAAAGTAATATCGGTGGTGCCCTGCGCCGCCTCATCGATTGGCACGGTGGAAAGCAACGCCACGTTGGTGTTAGTGAAGGTTGAGTCGAGGATGTACACCGAACCGGTATTTCGGGCACCTCCTGAACCGATCATATTGATACCAGTTCCGCAGTTCTCGATATCCAGGCCTTTCCATGTCCAACCCCAGTCCCAGATGAGGCCTATGGCGGTTGTACACCCAGTAAATTTGAGATTGCGGACGGTGAACTGTTGATTCCCACCGTACATCCCAAAGTTTCCTCCCGTAAAGACGAGATCGGACATGAAGCCACCACTGCCGTTTTCTGCAAAGATACCCTGCTGGGTTCCTGTATTCTGGAGGAATTGTATATTCTGCAAGCTGGGCGCTTGAGCCACTTGCCAGTGTAAACCAGCCGGGTACTCGACCGTGGCCTTGCGGATATCGATGATGAAGTTGCGGACCTGGCGGAAGAAGTTATTCTGGTTGATATACCATTCGGCACCGTTGCCACCGTCGATGTACACGTCAGACGAGATAACACCCAGGCCAACAAAGCTACTGGCAGCCAGAATGGTGGGCGGATCGGTCGGATCGCCAACGAGCTGGGTATTGTACATTGCCACGATCGACGAGCTCACCAGGTACTTTCCAGGAGGGAAGTACACGAGAGCGCCCGTCACGGAGGAGGAGTTGCATCCAGAACCGCACCGGAATCCATCCGAAATAGCTTTATTGATAGCAGCGGTACTGTCCAGCGCCCCAGTCGGGTCTGCGCCATACGAAACCACATTTCGCCATACAGGGTAGGTTGAACTGTTCGCATTGAACGCCATCATACCATTGTGATTGATGGAATTTATCCACCACGCACTATCCCTCCTCGTCTTCCCTTGTGAAGTCGAAGACGAAGTGGTATCCCGAGTGGTAGACAAATTAGTCACGAGCTTTGCGGCCTGTAATTCAGCGAGCAACGCCGCAGCTGCAGCCACGGTGGAATTCACTTTATAGTTCGGGATATCGCTGTCGCGACGACGAAGGGAGCCGTCCCCAGTTTTCATGACATTGCGGCGAGGATTGTCAAAGAGCCGTTTATTGTATGCGCTTTGCTCGTTGATGGCTGCCTTGACTAAGGCCTCAGCTTTTTTTGATCTCTGACTGTGTGATGTTTTTAGAAAGTGCTTCCCGACGGACGATTTGTTTGAACGGTGTAGATGAGGGCGTTCTCGATATGGAGGTATAAGTAGGGCTGGTAGTGATTGCCATTGTCTCGTTGGTGCCAACTGTTGGACCTCTCACGCCAGTGACGCGGATGGTTCCTGACTCTGTGATGGTTGTGCGAAAGGGATAGCCTTGATTCGAAAACAATCAGCTACTTCCTCGACGTGCGCGAGACGGACGATATCAGAACATACTAGACTTCGTGGGTGTTGGCGTTTGGGCCGGTGCACCGATGACGATATGTTGCGAGGATTCGAAACGCTCTGTCCAGTAGCTGGCAGTTGGCTCCGCAGGAATTTTGTCTCCTAGGACATGTCAGCTTTCCATTTCGGGTTTGTTTGGTGACGTGAACTGACGCTTTGAGTTTACCCGAACACTTAATCCGAACACGCCTGGGGAGCTGGTTTCCCTGAGGTACCGTACTGGGCTTGATGGAAGATTACTGGCGGTATTTAAAATGGCTCATTGGACGCTGGAATCCAGAGACATTCTGAGACGCGATACAGCTAAGCAGGGTTTGTTTATAGCTGCCTGCCCAAGGATATAGAATCCGGTCCTACAATAAGCGCGATTAGCATCGATCACCTCCCGAGCCTGTTGCCGCGAGCGCCGTCCGAATCTTTCAGCAGTCAACAATTACACAGTCTGCTGCAGTTGAAGGACCGGGAGACAGCCCAAGTGGGTGGGCAGATGCCAAGAATCAGTTCGAGGGGAAGAAAACCAAGCTTTGAACCAAATGTTTGTCTGCCATGAAACGGTCATCAAAGACACGGACGAACACAAGATCATCCAGCTATACACGCCCCTCGGCGTCTGCGGCGCCATCGTGCCGTGGAACTTCCCCGTCCTGCTGGCCGTCGGCAAGATCGTCCCGGCCGTGTACAGGGGAAGCACCGTGATCGTCAAACCCTCCCCATTTACGCCGTACTGCGGCCTGAAGCTCGCCGAGCTGGCGGCGCAGTGCTTCCCGCCTGGTGTGGTCCAGGCATTGAGTGGGGGCGACGATCTGGGACCCATGATCACAGAGCATCCGGGCATCGACAAGATCAGTTTCACCGGCTCAACGCTCACGGGGAAGCGCGTCATGGCGAGTTGTGCGAAAACCCTGAAGCGGGTGACGCAGGAGCTGGGCAGGAACGATCCGGCCATCATCTGTGACAATGTCAATGTCGATGCGGTCATTCCAAAGGTATTTTGCCTCTGTTCCTAAGCGTTATGAGCTACTGACATTGCAGATCAGGATCCTCTCCTTCCTCTGCTCAGGCCAGATCTGCATGATGGTCAAGCGGCTGTACGTCCACGAGGAGATCTACGACGAGTTCGGGGAGAAACTCATGGCCTTTGTGGGGTCGCTCAAAGTCGGCGACGGCACTGAGGCCGACGTCTTTTTCAGCCCTGTGCAGAACAGCATGTAGTACGACAAGGACAAGAATCTCTTCGAGAGCTTGTCCAAGGAAGGTCTCACGCCCGCCCTCTGTGGAAACATCCAGACTCGGCGGGCTACTTCATCCACCCAACCATCGTCGATAACCCTCCGGAGTCATCCCGGGTAGTGCAGGAAGAGCGGTTCGCGCCGATCCTCCCAATGCTCAGGTGGTCGGATGAGGACAATGTCATTGCGCGAGCGAACGACACCGATATGGGGCTGGGGCGTCAGTATGGAGCAGTGATATGACTCAAGCGCGTCGGATAGCCGATCAGCTCGAGTCGGGGAGCGTGTGGATCAACTCTCAGCGTTCCATCGGATTGGGGTAGTATTATGCACTTCAAGCTTGATTCATGCCCTGGCTAGAATACGCCTATAGTATGTATACAGATAGCGTTAGATAGAGTGCTCATGAAGGTAAAGACGGCCAAGAGTAACATAGGAGAATGAAACCGGTAGGAAATAAGCAGAGAAAACACAAATAGTGCGCGCCAAATCTGGCGCGGCATTTTGATTAGCTCGTCCATCTACGTAATGCGGCGGTGAGCACAGATAACCAAAGCAGTAAGTATGAAGTTACTTCCTTAGCAATCGGCTAACCGCTTGATAAAATCTATTCTATTACTCTTCATAGTAATCTGAAGTCTATTAGGTGAAGAGGATGGTGCAGCCTATGCCATGATAATAGCGGGTTCCTGACCATCAGGTCTAGCTATGATAAAGAGCACTTTCCGAAGTAAGTCAATTAAGAGACTCGTCACGCTTTCCATCCAAAGCTACTATCTTTGATGGTGGCTCGTTGCAAGCATCAAACTCGCAAATCCACTTCCTCTTCCAGCTCACGCAGTTTCGACGAGGTTCTTCGATAGAATGGGCGTCAAAAAAATGCCGTTGTAGGAGCAAGATACCGTTGTAAGATCTGTTCTCGCAGCAGGGATGAGGGCATTGAATAGCCTCCTCTTTTACCCTGCCAGCTAAATGTTTATTATCAATGTGGTTTATCAGTGTCGATTTCTCCCGCCATTGTTGGAATCGTTCCACCGGAGATTTAGTGTAGTCACCCAAGCAGAAAGGGCAGAATCCAGGCGCAACCAATGTAAAGCGGAATCTCAATAGCCCGCACCGAGGTTGTAGATTGTCCAGATGGAATCAGCAGTGCTCAGTCCAAGCATCCTCTGTATCGAACCATTTGGCGCATAAGTAGCACCATTCAAGAAAAGATCACTTTGCTCATCAATGCGCTCTCTTGCCATTCGCATAGAGCTACTGATACAGTGCGGCATTCAGGGATTTCCTTCTGCACTGTAGAACGTGTTTTGAACAGCTTGCTAAATCAATACTGCGAAAATTAGCTACCGAGATAGGTGTAGGATATCTGAACAAACCTAGACATTCCTCTGGAGCATACTGGACATCTCCCATCAATTAGCCATTCACCAGGATAATATGCCACTCTCTCTTTGGAGACGCAGATATTCACCATATCCTGTAGGCACTGTCTTCCAATCTTACTACCAATCAAGGCTTTGGTGAAGAGGTTGTCATGTAAACAAGCTCTCTCAGGCATATACTTGCAGCAGATGTCAAAGAGGCACATTAGATCTTACTCGCCAAACTCATTCCCTGTAATATATTCATCGTAAGAAGATCTCCACCAGTTGTCAATGAACTCAGCCTTCTTAGCACGGCGCTTCTTAGCTGCTTTTGTGTAGAGCTTTTCCCTCTCAAGTACTAATTCTTTGTGCTCAGCGGGCTTTCCTCCAATTTGTTAAGTAATCTCGTCAATCCTGTGGTAGATCTTTTTCATTTCATCATCATTATCAACCTGCGCAGTGGCAGCAGCATCAAGACATTGCGGAACATTAGTGTCACAATAATGAGCCATACTTTCTTCCATTTCCAGACATTCATAGTTGGGCTTTAGGTTCCAGAAGCTAGCCTGGACGTCAACACGCTTGAATTTGGATTAATACTTAAGGAAGGTGTCAGGGTTCTGATGATCCAGTGCTTGGCTTCTCGCTGCTTGGGAAGCATTTGCTATAAGCCTATTAGTGTGTGCTAGAAGTTCGTATAATGGAGGAAATGACCCACGGTCAATTACATTTGCAATGCCCCCTCTAATCCCGTGGATTCTCAACTGGTGTTGGAAGCACGCCCGTTGAGCAAGCGACGTAAAATAGTGCCGTATTAAAGAAAATGTCAACGCATGGGTGGGGTGTGGTCCATCAGTAGTCACCATGCAAAGCACTGGTAGGGTCTATACGTGCGCTTCCCATTCAAGGGTCCATGACTCTCTTCCTTTCGGTGGTCTTTTATCCAATAACTCATTGGCTGTGCGGATGCCCCTAAATGCCTTGTCTGCGATTCCCGTAACCATAACATAGAATACGAAATTTCTTCCAAGTATTTCTTGCTCTGGTATCCAGTTTTTAGGACTATATCACCGCAATCAGCTGTGTAGCGTTGGGGACAGAGAAGACAATCTTATATGACAGCCTCATCATCATAGCGATGGCCTTTGAGGAACTCTGGGTCTATGGTGACCCAGTATTTCACTTCCTTATTTTTCGAATCCCATTGTAGATTGAAGGAAAGATGCTATATACTAATTAGTATAGGACTCTCAGATAAGTAGGGTGATGGACAAACTCTATAGTAGAGACACTCATTGGTATCTCTATAAGAACTTAATTCAACGATTGCACCTGCTCTCGCACCAGAACCAGAGAACAACAAGAGCGAGAATGCATCTTGAAATCTGGCACGCTCATGTATGTAATCATGGTCATTATCTTCAAATAAATGTCAAAGAAGTATATTAAGATCCCTGCTAGTCACCGGAAACTTCTCTTAATGTTTGGTCACAAGTCCATACTTCTGAGTAAGTTTGTTCCGGATATGCTATGTAAGGAATTAGCAGTATACCGTAGCATATTTACCTAGTGTTTCTCATATTATAAAGATCATTCTTCACTGTATCTGGCAGCTTTCTGCAGGTCTTTTGCTGCCATTTAGCAATAAAGCAAGAGAGGTTAGAACAGACAGTCTGCTGAGTAGGCAAGTCTCCTTTGCGCAAAGTAATAAATGCCTCTGAATACAGCTTCAAGATTTGAACAGGGGGATCAGGTTGTTGCTTTGTGAAATATCAATCACCTGGTTCATTTTGAGAAAGCATCCATCTATATGCCATCAGCAACTAAGCGCAACATTAAGTTAATAAATAAACGTTTATTTGTACACTTTCCAAAACGCCACTGAATCACCATATTTTTTATCGGTAGCCAGAGCCCTTTTCTTATGACTAATTTCGTTTGGTTTACTTTTTTGTTCTTCCTAGTACTCTGTTATGAACCCTCTTAATTCAGCAAACTTGCGGAGCTCCTCCGCTTTTCTCCTCAGATCAAAATTATTTGAAAACAAGTCACGTGACATTATTGAACAATAGAAGGAAAAGCTGAGAGAAAATAGATCACAGAAAAAAACTGCTTGTAGATAGGAAAGGAGACAATGGTTAAGCAGAGAGGAAGCCCTCATATTTAAGCTAGCAATAGAGGGGTTCTAGTCATTATAGAATCACTCTGTCACCCACCAAGCACCCATGATCACCCATGCTATTGGATAGCATCACTCAGCTCACCTTCACTCACCCACACTCACCCTATGGTTTAGCGTCTCTCACCCGTAAAGCAGCAGGCCTTCAAGGGCGCATATAACTTCCGACCACGTTGATAATACTGGCTTAAGTACGGCTGAGCGGACGGGAAGCCCTGTTTTCCACACCCTGTGGTCGTATGTGCTAGATTTTAGCGAAGACCAGAATATATAGTGCGTAAAACAAAAATTGTATATAGATTATGTGTACCCATGGGATCGTCATCCTTCTTTCCAGGCTTCCATCCTAGAGGTTTACCATTTTGGGTAATCACAGCATTGTCCGATAGCACCTTCGAATAATTTGGCCCTTGCAATTCTCTTACCTGGACAATGAAAAATCACTTCAATCTCCATGCGCGCAGGTGAGGAGACCACGTATCGTTCTACTATGCTAGAATTGACTGTCTAGCCACCTGTTTAGTTGAGAGGTTTCTAGTTTAAATAACTAGGAGCTCTATTCCATACTTGATTTTGAACTTGCTAAACCCAAAATTCATAACACAACTTTTTATTCCATGTCATTGCTTTTCATCTTTGACCGTTTTAGGTGTGAACCATGTGACATTAATTTTCAGCCCATCTGTCTGCCGTAGTAGCACCTGAAGCAATCTAGGCAATAGAGCACTATGAACAGTGGATAGCTACATACGCAATTTCTCACAATTTGTTACGATTTATTAGTGGGTATATAACATGTAGTTATCTAGCAACTCAGTTATTACTAAAATACATTCTTGATGCGCAATGAACCACTAGCGTGCACGTGTTCCCGCATCTGTTATCAGCAGATGTTAAGATGATTTCTCAAACAACTTGCCTTGATTTCATTCCTCAAATCTGTCAGATCCTTCACTCCGATGGATTCCTCCGCAGATGGCCCATTTTGGGGTCCCCAGACATCCTATCTCAAGTATGTTATTATTGGTATTGAATTCCTGCATTTCTAGACTAACACGCTTTAGCTTCTGTGAAGAGGTATCCGCGTCTGCCTTACTTGAATCCTCTTCCAAACACTAACCCTCGACATGTCCCCAAATATAGGACTATGTAATAACCCGGTACATTGCTGAATTTGTAAACACATTTAGCAGCTTGATATTCGGTATGTTTGAGACGCATCCGGGGAGTCCGTAACAATTGTCTCATAGCCCGCTAATAACCTCGCCAAGTCATCTACGGAGTTTACGGTCTGGTGAAACTCTGCCAAAAGCAACATGCCACCCTCAGTCGTACAATCCCCTACTTTGGTCTGATGGGCGTGGGCGCCTGCTCGGCCGGATACCATATGACCCTAAAATATCACACCCAAATGTGTATGCACCCCTGCCTGTCATCGCTGCCGCCATGGTTGAGCTTACGCAGAATTCTGTCTGTCTCCAGCGGATGAACTATCAATGCATCTACTTGTCACGCCTCTTCTGTACCGGATCTTTACTATCCAGACTAGCCCGCAGCACACCAGACTCATAGGCATCCTCCTCCTTACTGAGTTTACTGTTGTGATGGTGGTTCACATGGTCATGAACGAGTTCCTTCTCCATGCCGTGACCTTCGGGTTGGGCGTCCTTTTGATCGCGACACGGACAGTCAAACTGGTCTCCCAGCGGGTCCCGGATCCTTTCACTCGGAAGAAGCTTCGGAACATCGGCCTCTTCGGCGTCGGTATGTTTTTTTCTTCCTCCTCCATCACAAGCAAACCCCGATTAATACAACTGACAATGAGCTCAGGTAGCTTTCTCTTCGGCTACATGGTTTGGCTGATTGATGAGTGGGCTTGCAACCCCCTGATCCACATCAGACACTCGGTCGGCTTGCCCTTGGCGTTTGTGTTCGAACTGCATGGATGGTAGGTTTCTTCCTAACATCCTTTCTTCATGGGATTCTAGATCTAGAAACATGAGATGCTGACTCGAGAAATCAATGCAGGTGGCATGTCTTCACCGCAATTGGTGGCTACATCGCGGTGGAGGTAGTGGACATGATCACGTCGGGTGAGGTCCACGAGGATCCAACGGATCAGCTTGCTTGGCCCGTTGCCGATGTGGCAAGATTTATAGGGGGAGCACCAGGGACCAAGAAATTGAATTGACCCTAGACTTTTGGTGGAAGAGTAACGCTGTTCGCCCCATAGAACTCTCTTTCTCACATCGAAGAGTACTTATATAAGATCATCACAAACTGAGTCACGATCTTCGAATGCATACTTGCTCACGATAGGAATCAGAATTATCTTACACGATACTCAAATTCAACCGGTTAGCAACACACAATAAGCGCTTGCTTGGGAGATAATTCCTTTAGCACATAGACAGGTTTCTGTATGAAAGGTTTCGATAGTTTACATATACTTAGAGACCCGCTGCTTAGCCCAGGCAAAGCTGATATTAGACAACTGCAGTTTAGTTCGCAAGTCCTCACGCCTCTTCCCAAATCCTAGTCATGGGTGTTACACTCTATCAATATCTTCTCGCGTCAACCTCGCACGAAAATACCAACCTTCTGTCCGTTAGAAGGCTGAGGAGCCAACGATTATGTTCATTCCCATTTTTCTTATCCCGTAAAGCCGAAGCCTCTGGTACATACGACTATAAGACCCAAGAATGTGCGAAATAGGCTTGACTGGATTTTGATGGAAATGTTGCTCAAAATGGTCACGACCGATGGAGTGTTGCCACCATCTCAACCGCCATTTCCTTTTCAAATCCTAGACCTAGACTTGATCGTCATGGCTCCAGTCCGGAAACTTGGCTTCCTCTTCTGGACGTCGTCGAATCAAAATGTCACCCGGATCAAGCAGCAGGAACACGCCTTCGTATCGAGGCTTTGCAGTGATCCCCCCCGGAAGTTTGATATCATAGTGCGTCAGAAGATAGCAAAGAATGAGCTTAATTTCAAGATCTGCAATAAATCGTCCAGGACATGCTTCCTTTCCCAGACCAAATCCAAGGCTTTCAGGGCTTGTTGCGACGAAGGAGCTGGTCCGGTTCCAGTATGGGTCTTGCTTGGCTAGATTCAGATAGCGATAGCCATCGAATTTCTGTGGGTCCGGATAAATCTGCGGATCCCACATGGTGTCGAGGGTCGATGTCATCGTGATAGCGCCCTTGGGGATAGTCAAGTCGCGGTTCAATGGCACATCCGCTGTGGCGACCCGCCTCATGATAGCTGTAGAATCGGTATTGGCCTTGGTCCAACTGAATTTCGCCAGGACTTTTGGCCGCAGGAAAGGGGGGTGGGGGGGAATGTACGTACCCTGACTAAGAGGCGACAGCCGGTTTGTCTCCTTCATGACACTATTCATGAGACGTAATTTTGTGATCCCTGCTTTGGTCCATCCATGCTCTTGGATCACCGAGCGAATCTCTGCCCGAAGAGGCTCAATCAAATCAGGGTGCTTGCAGATTTGGTATATAATCGTAGTCAGAAGAGTCGCAGTTGTGTGAGTGGCAGCTATAGTCAGCGCGATAGCCAAACAGGCGGGATCACCGCGCTGGTCAGGTGGGAGTGTTTCAATGAAGCTAAATACGTCAATCTGGTCTAGGTCATCTGCCTTCTGCCGTTCTTTCTTTTGCTTTACGAGAAGAAGCGTCAATCTGGCGCGCGACTTTGCCAACTCAGCTCTGGCCGCTCTGCATGTCGGTAGAAGCCAGTGGACAATCGGCCGTAAACATTGGGGCCAGAGATGGAGTTTCGGCATGCCCGCGATGGAGAAGGTCAAATACCGCAGTACGCTCTCGCCAAACTCAGGATCCGCAGCAATGTCTGGGCCGTAAAATAGAGATCCGGCCGCTTCGGAGAGAGTGGCCCCGGCAGTCTCACGTATGAGGATTCGAGACCATTCTGTATTCAATACCAGCTCTCACCATTATTATCGGCAGTCAGGGATCTCTCCGGGGAATGGCAATCATTCTTACCCTGGGAATCACCCAGCATTTTGTGCAGGGTTCTGGCTGTGTTGCGAGATACCGGCTTGACTAATTTTCCTGCACGTGGGATGAGCGCAGTTCCACGCCCTAAGAACCACCGCCGAAGGAAGGCTTGCCTAGTTGGAGTGACATCTTACTACGGGTATAGTGCTGGAGGATGTGATGATCGGCGGTGAGTTGATAGTAAGGCTCGTATCCGGGAATAGTTGATTGAAACTCCTGCTGTCCCGTTAGACCACCGGCCCCTTGTCAACATTGGGCATTAGCTTAACTTAACCGACCAGTGCATTGAATTTTTGAACACCCAGCCTAGTCTCATTCTTGAGGAGAGGGATGTAGCGCCCACCGAGCAAATACACCCAACCGAGATTCGTATACACTCGAGTAGCCTCTCAGGACTGACAGAAATAATGAAGTCAGACTTTCTGGTATGTCCGCATAGAACTCGGGCTGACCTTGGCTAAGGCTTCAATGAATGACGAGGTATCAGGGCTGAGGTATTTTCTTTTTGCCTGAAGACCCAAGATATCCCATAACTCAGGCTTGTTAACCTGTGGCAGGTTGGGTCGACATCGCCAGGCCTCATAGCCACTCTTGATGGCAACTATGAGAAACCCACAGAGACTCAAAGCTGCAGAATATTTCAGAGGCCAGGTATAAGGTTGTTGCTTTCCGGAGCTCTGGATTCGCATTAGGCGAAGGTAGCCATGAATCGGTATGAAATGGCAGCATAGTCCGCACAGAGTAACATATACACTCAACATTTGAATCTAAGGGCTAAGAGCTACCTACAAGGGCTAAGCTTTCTGGTTCATCTGACTATAGGGGTGGGTATAAGCTTATGCCATGAGCAACAATCCCGTTCTTTATCAGACCTGTAAATCTAGTACTTGAATTGACTTCAGCACTAGCTACCTTCTGCTAATGTAGGAAAGACACCTTAGTTATCTTTGAGAGGTTAATGATTCGTCAGTTTTAAAGACTTTAAAATAAACTATTTTATTTCTGGATAAGTGAAAACAAAGATATAGAGGCATTATCGGAAATAGGATAGATCCTTCTCCTGGGCACTAAGAAGTGATTATTCCAAGCATGTTTCCCTAACAAACAACGATACATAACTCTGGATACTCAACTAGACAGTAACATTGAAAGAAATTTCTTTTCCAAATGAAACATTATGAAGCCAAACTTCCAGCTTCTCTTTTGGCAAGTGCTACTCCCCTAACCTTAATAACAACCAACCAGGAACATTTGGCACTGTAGCTAGACGTTTATTTAAAGCAGGCAAGGTCTCCGTTAGACTTTGACATAGTTAGCATCGTTAATGCAAAACCACACATCCAGGAAATGTCTTACCTGAAGTTGAGGTTTGGAGCAGCAGGCCTCTTTTTTGGGGAATGTACAGGCAGCGGTGGGGGCTGAATGGGTCAGTAATATTTCACTGGAAGGTTATGTAGTTCAACATACTCTTCACGCAGCCACTTCCGAGGTGTGAAATAACGAGGAAATTGAATGGGAAATAAGCATTACAGCAGAATCTGGTGCCTGAACAGACCCGTTTTTCTAAGCCTTCGGGTTCTGGAGCTGCAGAGGCCAAGCTGGCCATGGCAAAGACTGCAAGGATAGTTTTGATTTGCATTTTGTCTTCTCAGTGGGATCAATACAACGAGAACCTTGGATGAGAATTCTTCAAAGACTTACCTCCCTGCAATTCAAAGGGTCCTATTGCCTGCTTAAGTAGACTTCAGGTCTCAAGGATGTCACGTTGCCATGCCTCATATTGACGTAGTGGCATAGCATGAATACCCCTCCCCTGAGATTCTGGACAAGAAGGACAAGCTAATCTTGGGTTTGAGTGGCATGACAAGTGGTGTTACAATGGTCTAGAATAAATAGACAAGTTGGTCTTAGACGTCAATAGCATGGCAAATGGGATTATTAGTGTTCGATTCCGAGGAGGAAGCCGGGCTGCCTGACGAATGGCTACAAGGGCAGGCGCACAACTTACCCAATCCTGGAGGCAGTGGCAATAGATACTGACGAGCGGCTCTTTTGGGTCTCACAATTGGAATGAATACAATCTAAATCCCTTAGGAAGAATACCATCAGAGGCTGAGGGTAATGCCAGAAGCTTGGCGATTTGAGCTCCAATACCATTTACTAAGTTGTTATAGTTAAAAAGTCAATACTTGAACCTTGGGTCGGGCTGGAGAGTCATGGCCTCCACGAGCTGTGGGGAAACCAGGACTTTGCCACACAAGGCTCGTGAGTTTAAACCAGGCCATTGCGTGAACATTACTTTGAATAATAGACCAGGATCTGTGATTCCATTTTGTTGGTCTCTAGGGCCGCCATAATGATTACTAGGGATCGTTGGGGCGTCAGTAACCAACTCTCGGAGCTGGAATTTCTTAGATTTGTTCAAGTCTAACTGCCACAAACGCATTTACCAAAGATGTTCTCACTGCTCAGTTATTAACGAAATTAGGTGATTGGAGATGATCAGATACGATCAAAGTCCTAGTCAACTTTCCATAAACGACGCCGACCATGGATCGAGGGATCAAGCAGGTTGTCCATATGATCCTCTTGGCATCTCACGCAAAATCAGAAGATTAAGTAGACTGGACTAGATCTGGGGTTCCGTCAGATCATCGGGTACCACGGTTCATTAGGTGCAATGACCTCAACCCTAACAAAGAGTGCCATTACGCACCTTTACTCTCACTTTCAATGAACAAAATGGTACAAAGGCTATTAATGGGTGCAAAATGCAGCCAAGACCTTTGTTAGTCCGACTTCAGCAACAGCCCACATCTGAAACCTTAACTACATTCTCCTTATTGCAATTTATAAGCGCATTTTGGGATGATTTTAGACCAATAAATGACTTCTGTAACGACCCAGCATGATCTGCATGTAAAATAACTTTTCAAAACAATCGCCGCCAAGAGCTTGTCATAAGACTGATTCCAAGACTGAAGATCTCCACTAATGTACTGTGTAGATCTAGATTGTACGAAGTTTGAATCCACCCGTCCTTTCCCCTTCCTAAATACCCCCTATCTTATGATGGAATGGGATCCCATTAAGGAATGCCTAGAGTGGGAACGTCTATTCACCCTCAAAAAGGTGGCCATAAATGAGCTACTATGTCCGTTCTTTTGCCCTTGTGGGTTATAACAGCATGGAATAACTTGCGTAATGCATCTATTCTATTATAAGCCTGGTTTGTTGTGATGTCATTATCAAGTTATATCCTGTTAATTGCTAGACCAGTGTGTTCAAAGTGTCCTTCCGCACTCTGCGCCTTTAACCCAATGACACTAATAACCCTTGGCTTAGATTCATCTCTTCTTGATGAACTGTTTTAGCTCAGACTCCGGAAAAAGTGAAGCTAAATATAGGAATTACACTTCTGCCTGCCTCCCCTCATCAGGGCTAAATGGAACAGAGGCTGGTTTTTTTCAATATGGTATATAACAATAATTAGTAGTTATAGTTATAGCTGTCGTGGTTGTGGTGATGATCCAAATTCTATCACAGCTTTGAATCTCAGCCGACCTTGATGCCTAGAAGAATAGAGACTAGTTACAAGATGGTGCTTTTTCCAGAGTGACCCGCCTATACTCATTCAAAGGGAAGCTGCTCCGAATTTGAAGATAGAATCCATTCTAGCGATATCTCATACAATAGTATTCGTTCATATCGTCAGGCTGCCTCGCCCAATGGGCGATGCGAAGATTGCAATCGTTATCATAAAACAAGTGTGGTACGTACAGAAGTGAGCACATGTAGACATGTTCAAAAATCAACGCAGTAGAACAAGTTAGTGGTGAATATAGAAGCGGGTATGTACAGACTGGCTGGGTCCCTAAGGCAGCCGTATGCTGCCCAAACATAAAAGACAATAAGCTTCAAGACATATAGACGGCGACATAAGCGATCTCCATCATGCTGCCGTAACCGTCGAGGGTGGCTGAGTTAGGATAACCAGGCTATAAGGGTTAAAGATACTTCACGTCAGCACTCCCACCTTCTACACATTCGGAAGGGTGCACAATTTAAGGAGAATCTCTAAACGTACCCAGGTGCCGCCAACAGCCACGTTGAGAATGAAGTACAATGGGTTATGACAAAGCGTGGCCCAAACGTTCGAGTCGCCAATCTGGGAACCAGTAATCCGATGGAACAACTGGCCGTCCATGTACCAGGTAATGGTCTCCGACTGCCAGGTAGAAGGGGTGCGGTCCCAGACAATGCGCCAAGTATGCCATGACTGATCAGGGATCGTGATGCTTCCCCCGCGGCCATTGGGCTCGTTGCAGATACCGCCCGGATAGACGTTGCAGTGGGCAGTGCCGTAGCCCGTCAACTGGCCATTGATGGTCTCAAGGATGTCAAGTTCACCGCACCCAGGCCATGGGGTTCCCGAGCGGATTGAGTTGCCCAGGATCCAGAAAGCCGGCCAGATTCCCTGTTTGGCAGAAGTAGGGTTGGTTCCGAACCGGATATCGGCCTCAGCGAACGTGATCTTCCCTGAGCTAGGCGTGAAGACGTACTTGCTCTCAAGCCGGCCTGATGTCCACCCCCCAGACACGGAACCGTCTTTCCAGGGCACCAGCTGCAGAGTGTTGCCGCCGCTGAGCTGAACATTCCTGTTCGAACTGGTGTACGTCTCCAGCTCGCCATTCACCCCCGGGTTCCCTGTGATTATGTTCCAATTGTTAGAATTGGGAAGTGTCCCCGCTGAGCCAGCGAAGCTATCGCTCCACTGCAGCGTGTATCCTGAGTATGCAGGGGGCACCCAGGCCGAGACCAAAGAGGCCAGGGCTGGGAGGAAACAGAAATATTGGCAGCGCATTTATAAGGAAGGGGATGGTGCAAGGCAGAAGCAGGTGTGTATGTACAATATGGGAAGGTGGGAAATCAGGATACTACGTGCATGAGGAGAGTATGTACAAGTAACCCAGAAGATCAACGAAACAGGGTCGGCCAAACGAGACTGACAACAGCGGAGGTTGTTTATATTGTACCTCAAAAGCCTGGCGAGGAACTTCAAATACAGGTGTCCAGGCTGACTGTGGCAGATGATGTTATCATGGGCTTCGTATATACATTATGACTGCAAAACGATGCTACCCACCAGGTAGGCAGAGTAAAGCAAGCTAATCAACAACGGCTTTCTATTCCACCGTGCTATCGCCTTGGGCCAGCTGATGACTCCCGAGGCGGCCATTGAATGAGTAGAGACTGATTCCGCCCTACCATACCTCCATAACTCTCGAGACGAAGCCAAGTCAATCAGCCAAGAGGCAGACGATATAGGGTACCTTTTCTCTTACATTTACACCTCAAGACTCATGGCGGCATATCCACGACAGTTGAGTGGAAAACTCCATGTCCACGAGAAGTGCCGCGTGGCCCCCGGCATAATGGCAGAAGTAAATACCGGAATCCATACGACTAGGATAATACGAATTCCGGGTAAAATCCTAGCGACTCCTGGCCGCCACCCCGCGCCTGACGACGTCGGCATGATTGCAGGAGTGGGGAAGGCTGAGGCTAATAAATCTTATTGCAACCTGGAGAGAAAGTCAGAGCGAAGAAACACAAACACCGACTGGTCGCTGCGCGCGTCAGAGTTCATCAGGGGCTCAGATGCCGAAACACCTGAATGTTCTCCTCGACAAATGGCCTTGGAAGTGTAGGTGCCAAGTACCGAACCATGTGACCCTAGGATATAAGATAGGTAGCCTGCTGATATCAGCGTTAGTGTCACCCGGCCACTGGCCTTGCAAAAACTGGGACAGCATTTCCTCAATATCTCCCAATACTACGGAGTACTCTATTGGGTAAATAATTTAGTGGAAACTTTAAACGTAGTAGCATGGGCAGGTTACACGGACTCATAAGCCAACCACACAACACTTATATGGGTTTCAACTTGACTAATCACAACCTATAAGGTAGTTAATGCAACTCGGTTACACCATTTCTGTCTGCCGTTTGAGGAGTCAACCAGTATCCAGTCATGTCAAAGTCAAGACATCATCGCCTAACGCTAAACTCCTAGCTTATATATGAGTATGCAAATCATACACTTCCGCTACGGACGTCACTGTCATCTGAACAGGATCATTTCTTTTCAACTCCTCTGTGGACCCATCCTTAGTTGTGGTTTTATAGCTTCACTTCTGCACTTGCAGTTGACCCGAAAATCAGGCGCCAGGCGATAGCGGGTGTCAGTTGGTGAGGGACGGTAGTCGCCTTGATTGATACGATTATGCAGATAAGCAAGGACATCATATGTGCTTTTTCCTTTGATGACGGATAAAGTCCTCATAATGCGTCCATCCTGGTCACTTGCATCTTCGCTGGTCCAGAGACTCCATCCTGACCGCATGCGAGCTGCTCTCAGTCTCCTGATGTCATCCGGCCTCTGTCCTGTAAGGAGTTTTGCCGAAACTGCTACCTCGGGCATCTTCTATGAGGCTGAGTGCGCGTAGGGTGTAAGGATGGTTTCTTCCATAGACCATCAGTAGGCCTGGTAGAGCTCTAGAAAGGGAATCCAACGCTTTCCTATATGCCACTCGTGCATGTAGGCAATGCCCATCCAATGAAGTGCCGATAGGATAT